TGGCACATAAGCAAACGAGTTTACAGCAGAACTAGCCGGTCGTATGCATTTAATGACGATGAAGATTCCATCAGGGTCTGTACTCCGCAAACAGCATACTTGATTCGGTAGTGGCGCTGTGCGGCTCATTTGCGAGTCGTAATCTTTCCTTGTACCTAATATATCATAACGTGAGCGTCAATGTCAAAATTATTGTATTTATAAACAAAGTACATGATTAACCGCAGATATCAATTAAGTTGCGATCAGGGATAACGTGTGAGGTATATTCACGTCCAATGTCAATGACATCCTTGATGAGTGCTTACAAAAGGTGGGACCAGTTCGAAACTGAGTCAACGCTTAGATGATCTAAACTGACCAGGTGTTTTATATGTTCGAGAGCCTAACATAACGGACTATTTAACCCGTTAGTTTGGATAGACTCGGAAACTAGTAACATTGAAACTTTCGGATGCATATAACTGCATAGCAAGGGTGATACAATAATAACTGACTACGACTGGAGTCGAACGTCTGTTCAAAAATTGATGTCCTAATGCACAACTCTAAGAGCCCGTGAAACCTTACCTGAATCAACACAGCACCTGTTTGAAGTGACGTGTGTGAATACGTAGCTATATCATTGTCATTACCAATTGCAAAACTTATCGGCATATATGGGAGGTGACTTTGCCAATAAAATTTCCGTCTCTCAAAGCTGATAAGGGGTGAGGGTGTGGCCATGACTAAGTCATTCAAGATCGTGCATTCAATCGATTGGATCGCACGATACTATGATATCTTGCTAGCGACTTTGTTGTGACAATTTAGCGCTTCTGTCGACAATAGTTGAGTACGGTCTGCGATATTCGTACAAAGGGTAATTTGCTATCAGAATTATAAATATACAGTCTAGCAGGTCAAAGAGCCCGGTACTGTTCGTAGCTAATAATTCCAACACTAATCAACTCGTTTTAAACAAAGCAAATACAGCGATCTATTTATCATGATCGACATAAAATGTGTCACAGGTTTGCAACTTGAGTGCTCTACACAGAAAGCGGCCGCAATTATAATCGGCAAAAGTTAAGCCTTATCGCAAATCGGATGTGTCAGACACTACGAGAAGAGCTCAATACTACAGCCTAGCGCGATGGACATTGCTGGTATCTTGATCCATGGTAGCATATGCGTCAGCTCATGCGTTTTCACGTCAAGATCAGAGTCATTGACGTGATCATAAGCGACATCAACAACCAACGAATTATGTCGTCAGTCACAAATCCACAAGCAGACCACAATTTTTGAAAAACACCTTTAACATGAAAAATATAAGACGTACTTTCACTACCGAAACAATATATTGCGTCTCGATATACAGTATTAATGTAATACATTCGATAATCAGAAGTACAATCGAGCATCACAAGATGAAGAGAACACATGCAGCGAATAAAGTGATCGAAAGCTACAAAAATGCACGTCTGATGTATACAGCACGACCCAAGACAACATCGGGATCATTCGAATACATCCACGCGCATATCTTCTTCATTTCCACTCTCAATCCATCATCCAAACCTTTTCTTCGTTGTTTTTCGTCGATATTTATTTACTTATACTGTAGAAAGACAAATGCGTTGACGCTTCAAGCGTGACCTGACAGTGTTGCGTATCGCTTGACTGTAAGGCCACGTTTCTTCGATCTCTTGTATCCAGATGTTGATGGTTTGACATTGTAACAACTTGTAGATGATGCCTCGGCGGTATCGTTGTTTTTATGTAGAACGAGACGGCGCAGTGTCGTGATGGCGCGCACACATTGTCATACAAGATGTTTGAGGAACGACTCGAGGCAGCATTGTACGGCGGATTTACAAGGGCGACAAGCGAACCATTATGCCAGAGGGCCGGCGAATAATTTTGGTGCTGTTGCAGGCATTCAGCCGGATGCTTCAAGATCGTAGAGGAAAACACGCTGATATAGAGCGCAATGCTGATCGATTGTTGCTTTTGTCATAAAAGAGTCTGCTACTGTTGGTAGTCATGTTGTGCATTGCTCTGGACACTGCAGCCTGGATCCTGTGATCTTAGATGTAATATTGCCATCTGCAGTAAATGTGATAATGTGTATATTGCAGGTACCTCGACTTTTATTACGCCCTATATACAAGACCATGTATATAGACTTACCACACTACAATCTGATAGACAAATGGAGCATACTTTTTTACGAATACATAATGTCCAGTAAAGGCACGTGCAGAAAACGCTAGGCAACAGATGAAGACACCATTTGAAAATAAATGAAAACCAAATATATATAGTTTATCACACATGTGTATTCGGCTCAATAATTGCTTAACCTTTTTTGTAAATAACAAACATGAGCTGTAACGAACTGCTCGCCACCTATTGCGCGCTTTAATTATTCTCTGGACTTTTTGTTTCCTTAGTATAATGGCCTAAATGAGCAGAAGTTCTTTACACTGGTGCTTTTCATCGGAATCATACATTTTATATTGACGAATGTCAGTGTGGATATTATCCCAGCCGTTGTTATATAATAATGTTTTACGCTGTGATAATACTCGCATTGACATTTGCTAATGATAAGTATATGTAACGGGTTCACTCCGTTACATTGTGCGCCGTTGCTCTACCTTCATTCACACGAAAAAGTGACGCTTACGTCGTGGAGTCCATGTATACTGTGACAAAATATTGTGTATCAACGAATGTTGGTGTAAAAGTAGGTGGTGAAATAAGCGACTTACTTTATGCAATAAAACATTATTTGTAACGGGGTACGCCTTGTGTCAATTCAACACAAGATTGTGTGCACCCGACGTCACGTATACGTGGCGTGAGAAAGCGCAGCGAAGTAGGTAGAGCTCGAAAGCTGTGTCTAAGGGAAAAGTAGGGCTGTATTTAATATAGTTGTGTTTTCGTAATAAACCATCCTTTGTCGTGAGCTAATTATATTGACTAAAATCTCCTATGTGGGTTTCTTGCCTACCACCCATTGCGCGCGTCCAGCAGCAATTGGTGTTTGATCTGGTTGATGTACCGTGATCATCAACCATCAGGTGGAGCAACCCATCAAAGATATATTACCCTCGGGGGTAATATTCCTTCAACCTTACTCCTTACGAGTAATTTCAATTGAACATTATCTAAATGGACGATGTTCAAAAATTGATACAAAGATATCAATTTTTATGTAATGGGCTTAACACGTTACATTAATGTAAACCACCGATGAGCGACCCCAATGGCCGAGTGGTAGACCACTGGAACTGGGACCGGGAGTTACCTGGATCGATACCCTGGTGGGGGGTTCGATTACAGGGTGCCGGAGATAGACTAATATGGGACGAGCAATCATCCAATGGGTGGCTACGTAACCGGGCCGCACCTCAGGGTGTGTAGTGCCGGGCGCTGGAGGCCCCCTAAGCCGAAAAGCTCCATAGTGTAAGTTGGGGGTGCGGGTCATGTAAGGAGTTCAAACTGAGTCACAGTACTCGCAGACCACCTCAGGGTGATCTGAAGAACTGCGCGGCATAATTCTCTAAATTACCGAAGATTAACTTATCTCAATTTGCTACGACGTATGTATATAAATAAGCGACAAAATCGTTTTCTCTCGATGATCGCTAGTGTGCGTCTGTTCGGTTGTGTAATCAACAGCAGTGCTGGAATGTTGTATAGAAATGAATCATTTACCACGCGATGTGAAACGAGAAGAAATGGACGGCAAAATTATAGCATATAATGGACCACTGACATATACAAAACGATCACGTATACACATGCCAACGAGCATATCGATAAATCATTTTTTACGTTAAGATATACAAAATGTAGCAGCAAATTGAAATTGAAAGCTCATTCGGTTTTCTGCAACCTTGTACGAATCTCGAAGAACCTTCCCAACGATTCTGTGGCGTCGAATAAGTATTTTAAAGTCATCGGTCGGTCACTTGCTTTACGCTATGAAAGTTAATGGCACGTAATACATTTGCCGCAGCACATACATATCCTACGACGCGAGCATAATCATCCTGTGTCAGCGCATTTGACCATTTTAGCCTGGTGAAGTGTGAATAGATTGTGCTACGAATTTGGTGTGTACCAAGACAACCTGTGCACCTACACTTATACACATTATCACCTTTACTGCAGATGGCAATATTACATCTAAGATCACAGGATCCAGGCTGCAGTGTTCAGAGCAATGCACAACATGACTACCAGCAGTAGCAGACTCTTTTATGACAAAAGCAACAATCGATCAGCATTGCGCTCTATATCAGCGTGTTTTCCTCTACGATCTTGAAGCATCCGGCTGAATGCCTGCAACAGCACCAAAATTATTCGCCGGCCCTCTGGCATAATGGTTCGCTTGTCGCCCTTGTAAATCCGCCGTACAATGCTGCCTCGAGTCGTTCCTCAAACATCTTGTATGACAATGTGTGCGCGCCATCACGACACTGCGCCGTCTCGTTCTACATAAAAACAACGATACCGCCGAGGCATCATCTACAAGTTGTTACAATGTCAAACCATCAACATCTGGATACAAGAGATCGAAGAAACGTGGCCTTACAGTCAAGCGATACGCAACACTGTCAGGTCACGCTAGAAGCGTCAACGCATTTGTCTTTCTACAGTATAAGCAAATAAATACCGACGAAAAACAACGAAGAAAAGGTTTGGATGATGGATTGAGAGTGGGAATGAAGAAGATATGCGCGTGGATGTATTCGAATGATCCCGATGTTGTCTTGGGTCGTGCTGTATACATCAGACGTGCCTTTTTGTAGCTTTCGATCACTTTATTCATTGCATGTGTTCTCTTCATCTTGTGGTGCATTTGTATATTTTTGTGATTGTTTGGTGCATTTTCGCGCACCTCCTTCGGAAAAGAAGTTGAAGAAATAATCCCCAAGCGTCACAATAAATGCATTTTGTAAATAGCCAAACAAGAAAAAGCGAGCGAAGAACGAGAAACGAGTATGGAAGTGGACCTGACCTCGCGCAACGCCAAGTGGACCCGCGAGCAGAAGAAGCGACGCGAGCAGGCGAAGCACAAGATCGAAGCGGAGCGTCAGAAGCGCGTGGCGGCGGCCAAGGCCCGTGAAGAGCTAGAGGCGCTGCAGAGGCAGAAGCGCATGGCGCGCATCGCCGAGTTGGAGCGGCAGGAAGAGCAGATGCTGGAGGAGGAGCGACTCACGGGCGGTATCAAGTACTTGCGCGAGCTGAGGGCGTTCCCGACAGCTGGAGACGGTGACAAGATCACGCTGCCGGTGTCGGCGCTGGAGGAGCTCAATCCGCAGCACGCTCTGGAGCTTGGCGTGTTCACGTTTGAGCTGTCGTTCACCGAAATGGGTACCGATATCGGTCCGGACTGTACATTTGAGCGGCGGACGCACGCCGGCGTGCTGGAGTTTGTGGCGGAAGAGGGGACCGTGGGGCTTCCGCCAAAAGTCGCGGCGTCGTTATTCCGACAGACAGAAGCACTGCCCGAGAGCATTCAAGTGCGCTTTGTGCGGTTAGAACAGGGCAAGTTTGCGAGTCTACAGCCGAGAGGCGACGGGTTTGGTGATCGTCAGATCGACTTCAAGCACATGCTTGAGTGCTCGCTACAGACACACACGACACTGACGGAAGGCGACATCTTGTTTGTCCGACATGGCAGAGAAACGTTCGAAGTGCTTGTGTCGAAATTGGAACCTGAGCGAGCTGTCCATATTATCAACACTGACCTTGAAGTGGACTTGATTCCGTGCGAAGCTGTGGCCAAGGCGGAAGAAGAGAAGAAGCGGCTGGACGAAGAGGAAGCGCGTGTTGCAGCTTTGGTAGACGACAAGGAGCAGTGGAAAGCACACAAGATGGCGGCGTTGGTGCCGGAACCGTCTGCAGAAGAGCCTTTTCAGACGAAGGTGGTGCTGCGGATGCCTGAAGGTCCTGCAACGCGCCGCTTTTTGCTCGCGTCTCGGTTGCAGCACGTGTTTGATTTTGTCGAGGCGCTGACGGGCGAAGAGTCGCGTCTTTTTCGCTTGGCGACTTCATATCCACGTCAACTCTTTGGAGTAGATACAGCTGACAAGACGCTGCAAGAACTTGGTCTCAACGGCCGCCAAGTAGCGTTGTTTGTTGAAAAGCTATCGGCCGACGAAGGTATGGTCGAACCAGGGGCTGCAGAAGATGAAGTACGTTTGGAGCCAGCACAAGGCGCTCGGGCACGTACGCAGCTACCTGGTGCTTGGGACGAAGCTCGACGGAGTCTGGAAGTGCGGCTTGATGCAAGCATGCACTCCACTACAGTTCCTGCGATTCACGCGATGGAGCCTGTGATAGCTGTCACGCCGTCTGCAGACCGAGAGATCAAATGGCAGGCCCAGCTGGGCGAGCTGGAGCAAATGGGTTTCATGGATCGACCACTGAATATTGAAGTGCTCGAGAAGTACCAGGGTCGACTACTGCGCGTCGTGAATTTCTTGTCAGAGATGGCGACTAGTACCGTGAATAGCGGTGTGACCGTAATGGAAGAGTGAGCTACGCTTTGCGACAAAGAGGACTGTGTTGAGTGAACAGCTACCACACAATACGGTCGCGAGACCGTCGCAACCTACTACTGCTTCGTTATCCGAGAAACCCAAGACGCTCCACCCTGCGTCCTGCCCTAGCATCTCTTTCTCGCTGCTTGTCGAGAGCCTCTTGCAGCAGTTTGAACAGCTCTTTCGACCGTGCGCACGCCTCGTCAATCATCTGCTGCATCTCTTCCATCTCAATCGCACCCGTGCCGCTCTTCTGGACACCACAGACACTCCCCTCTGGGTCCACAGCGACACTCATCCGGGCCGTCGTGCACAGCTCTTCCTCCTGTAGCGGATCTGTGACAAAGCAGTCGCCAATCTTGCTCAGCGTCACGCAAATGGGCCAATGTCGGGCCATCATGAGCTTGCCAGCGGCAGGGTCGGTGTCCACCTCAATCGCCTTGTTCTCGCCCTCTACGCCCACGAGACGCACCGACGGGAACACCGTGTCATTGAGCGCCGCGTAAATGGCCATCGAGATGACGTCCGGCAAGTTGCCGCTCGACTCGAACACCATCACGTCAATGTGGATGGACCAGACGCTCTCTCCTGGTACGATGCAATACTTCTCGAGGTCTGCGCTGGGACACGAGCACAGGAGACGCGTCATGAGCTGCGACAGCTCCACGTTCAGCTCGTCGACCGCACGTCCATAGAGTTTCGCCGAGACGGACGGACAGCAGGAGACAGCGACGTGGACAACGCCAGCGTGCGGTGCTTCGGGCGCCGGCGGAGTCACTTCCAACTTGACAGAAGCCAATACGTCAGTGCCTGAAGCCTCGAGGGAGACACGGGCCGAGCCGTTGGACTGCACGAGCAGCGACGTCTCGAGCGAAAGACTGCGGTAGGAGAGGCGGTCGCGTCCGTCGGCACGCACGTCTGCGGCAATGCCCTCGACAATGTACTTCTTCTCGGACGCGCTGATCGTGAGCATTGTCGGCGGACGTTTGACACGCGTTGGGCGACTCAACTGCTTCGGCTACAGCGGTTCAAGAGCGTTCAGTGCGACCACTGGTTCGGGTGCGACGAAAAACAGACAGATTACGTAATAGCTGCGACGAGGTACCGTAATTGTTTGCCGGCGGTTTCGTGGCATTAGCTCGAAAGGCACGAAAACCCCACGCGCTGCTGGTCGAAACACAACTTGTAGACAGCGCAGTCGAGCAACAAATACGCACAGACCATCTTTTCTATACGGGGGCGTGCAGAACGACGCGGTCCATGGGACCACCAGAGCGCGACCTCATTCGGTACGCGCCACTTCCACGTACACAAAACTACCTCATGATCCCTTCGCTCACCAGCAGATAGCCACTTCAGCCACGTTCCGTCCAGGCACTTTGCCAATTTGTCTACTCCTTTGCATCGCGTTTCTCCAGCCTGTCCAACAACTGCCAGCAGTCGAGCGTGCTAAGTAGTTTTCCGGCGAATGTAGCCGCTAGAGCTGAACGCGGGCTTGCAAACGTACCGCCTTCCAATAGAACGGAACTTGCCCTTTTTGATGATAAGGTATCCCGTCACGGTGAAGAGTGCCAATGCTGCGATAATGCCGTCGCGCACTCGCGTCGTCACTGGCAAGTACGTGCGCATGCTGAGTGACACGCTAACGACTGCAAGCATAGCTAGCGCGACCTCCATCGTCATGTTCAGGAGACTGTGCTGTTGCTGGAAAGTGAATGGCGACTCGTCCCGCTTGTCCGGCGTGAAGTTTCCAACAAGCAGGTCGAACGAGTCCTGACGAATGCCATCCGAGTAGTTGTTGAGGTAATACCGGGTGACCGAGTTCGCACCGTCTTGCAAAGCGCCAGCGATCGTTCTTCGTCCCGTGCGCGTAAAGTCCGTCTTGAGGGCTCCAGTGCCCGCGTACATTCTGCTCACGTAATCTGCATTGTCAGCCCATGCATTCTTGAACACGACCTCGAAGCTTTGATAGGGAGAATCCAGTACGCTGTCGCCTCCGTCAACACCACCAGTGCTGAGCGGGTACAGCTGTAACGCCATGAGCATCGTACGTCGCGCAAAGAGACTCATGACAACATTCGTGCGATCCAGGTTGTCCATGCAGTTTACACGAAAGACACCGCGCTGGCGCGACAGTACACGCCCCTCGCTATCACACTCGAACCATCCATACTGCAGGAACTGCTCCTCCACCTCCGTCATGAGCTTGGCCAGGTTATGCCATGCCATCTTGCGACACTCGTGGTGAAAGTCAAACCACACATACGCAATGGGCTCTGCAAAGAGCTGCGAAATCGACGTAGGTGCTGATGGCACAGCCACTTGTGGTAGCGGATTCTCTTTCATAGGCAGCGATGTCGATGCCAGCAGCGTCAAAGCACCAGACGATCCATTTTTCTTGTCACTCTTGGTCATGAACGCCCCGACCGGACATTCTGCAGCAGCTCCCCCACCGTTAGCTAGCCCGAGTCCATTGCTTCCATTGGATCCAGGTGCACCGGGGAGGGCGACCGACATGCTTCGGCGCTGACGAGGTGACACGACACGAGACGTGGGCGAAGCAGGCAGCAGCAGTGGCGATCCAACAGCGTTGACGCCATCGCCCGACTTCGACTGCTGGTTGTACTTCTTGACGTACTTGCCAAACGCCGAGCCAAGTTGTGCCTGGTCACGCACGGTCGCGGTCTTCCCAGCCCTGTCAATGAGGTTCACGCACGTGATGTGTCCGTAGCGCTGGATGAGGTTGTCCATGTGGGCCCGGAACGCCAGTTCGTTCCAGTCGACCACGCTCTCGTGGCCCGAGAACGCGTACCGCGTGCGCGGCATGTACTTGAGCGTGACCATCTGGTCCCAGTAGAGAGGGATGCTGCCTCGCACTTGCACGTACGAGCACACGGCGCGCGAGGGCTTGACCAGCAGCATCTCCGTCTCGGCAAAGTTGGCCACGCAGCCGTCTTTGTCCACGCCCCGCACGTTGAACCGCGTGCCCACGCGCCGCCAGCTGCGCCGCGTCACGAGCAGCACATCGCAGCGCTGGCCGTTCACGTCGCACTTCTTGATGACTTTGACAAAGCCCGAGATCACGGGCACGATCCACGCACTGAGCTCCAGGTCGATAAACTTGCCGAGCACGGGCTTGTTCCAGAAAAAGTCCGCCTCGGCGCGCGCGTAGAGCGGCGCGGCCGACGACGAGAGCGCCAGCGACGCGCGTTTCTGCGCCGACAGCGTCAGGTCCAAGTCGTAGCTAAAGTAGAACGTGCGCGAGGCCACTGCGGTCGTGAGCATGCGGCAGTACGCGCGCTCGTCCTGTCGCTCGCGGGCGCTCGCGTGCTTGAAGAAGCTCTGGTGGGCCGCGGCGCTCACGGGCACGAGCGTGAGCTCCAGCACGCAGAAGATCTTCTCGCTGTGCGGGCCCGAGCCCACGACGCGCGAGTCCGTCACGACGGCCACGTACGGGCCGCTCAGCAGCGAGTAGACGCCGTAGACCGCGTGCACGGCGACGGACGGGGCGGCGGCGCGAAGTGGCGCGGCGGCGGCCAGCGGCTCAATGTCGACGCCGGGGGACGACGCGCTCGACGTCACGCGGAGCCACGGGCCGGCGCCGGCGCGGCAGTCCTCGAGCAGCAGCTCCGTGCGCTCCGTGTGCACTCGGAACATGGGCGTCGGGGGGCGGGGCGGACGCGCGGCGACGGGCGGATCGGATTCTGGAGGCGGACATGGGGGGAGGCGGAGGTTGGGGGCGGCCGGGTGACTGCTGACAGTTGGTATCTTGCAGCAGTTTATAGCCGACGAGAAGCGGGAAAGGTCGGAAGACGCCTGTCGAATTGCATAACCTGTGAGAACCTGCGCGTGGGACAACGCCAACGCGGTGTTTCGAACGTGGTGAAAAGGTGTGTCGCGCCCGCGGTCGTCGGGTCGTCGGGTTGTTGTTGTTGTTGAGCGCGTCGTTTGGTCGCCCCGGCAGACCTCAGCGACGAACAAACAAACAAACAAACAAACGGATGGACAGACGATTGTGCTACTATCAACTTTGACAGAGCAGTTGATTCCATTTGGGGGGGGAACAAGTCGTTAGTTATGGCAATTGTTTACGGTACTGACTGCATCAATGGAAATGGCAAACGTCGGCGAGACCTCCTCCCGAGACCGCCTACAAACAGATACGACGAGCTCGAGGCTGCCGACTCGCCGCCGCGCAACTCGCTGCTACTCGGCCGTCGTCGCTCGATAATGATAATAAAATACGTCACGTCCATGTCGCCCCTTTGCTGCAGCGCACCATCGACCGACCAATTGACCGCCTGGTCAATCGCTCTACCGGTGGTGCTGGATCAAGTGGCGCTTCCGTGCGCCAAACGACTTGACGCCGCGCTCCAGTTCATACGCGGGCAGTGCCACGTCCCTCGAGTCGCTCTTGGGCACACGCGCGTGCGTGGCCCCCGACAGTAGCGCCGGTCGCGGCTTTGCCTGCGCTGCGCGCGTCGCTGCCATTACCGGCGACTCATTCCGCAGCACGTCGGCAAACGTGCGCACCGCTTCCCCGTCCTTGTCCACGACCTCCCAGTCGTCCCGGACCACGACCCACGCCTCGCTGCCGTTGCTCGCAGCCGCCACTTCGCTCCAGTCCTCTTCGTCGGCGAGCTCCGAGACCGCGTCTTCGTCTGCGTGCAGGTCCACAAACAGCAGCTCCGCGGGCGTCGAGTGCGCCGCAACGGACCCGAGCGTCAAGTCGCCCAACATGGCGGCGGCCACGTCTTCGCGGTAGTTGGCGGCCACGAGCACGTCACGCCGCACGTCGACGGCCACCAACGGGAAGAACTCGCCCAGCGCGCGGAGCTTTTGTTTGCTGGCGACGGTGTCGATCGCAGGTACGCGTCGGGGCGCAGCGAGCGCTTCGATGGACTCCATCTCGTCCACGAGCCAGCGCGTGGCGGCGCGGAGGCTCGAGCTCTTGCGCGCGTAGCGACTCGCCATTGGAGCGGAGAAGAGGAACACGCGCAGTCGGTTTGACGTTCAGTTGGTCTGACGTTCAGTCGGTCAGTCGGTCAGTCGGTCAGTCGGTCGGTCGGTCAGTCGGTCGCACGAGGCACTTGCGCAGGGCCGGGCGAAAGTCAGAATGACTGCGGGGCTGACTCGAGAACGGGGCGGACGGACGGACGGACTTGCAGTAGTGGGGAGTGCTGCGAAGCTGGCGAACAGTCGCGCGCCGGGGGATGCTGAGAAAGATCGGATTCGGCAGGGTATGGGTTGTGGCCGGACCGGTGTGTGTGGTAAAGTGGGGCTGCTCTGCCTCGTGACGGTATGCGTTTCTACGAGACTTGTGGTTTGCGCTCCTGTCACGACGTGCCACAAGAAAAAGTGTTATTACTGCCCCTGCGGCACTGCAAATCTGCGCCATCGGACAACACATGGCGCACAAAAATGCCTCCGACGGCGCAAACTGTTGCCAAGTTTAGTCCTCACGCCGTCGTTGGAACGGGGTCGGCAACAGTCGAGTCCCACGCGCCCGACCAAAACACCAACTTCAACGACCATCACTGACGAACGCCGTGTCGTCCGAAGGTCGCACGTGCTTGACCAGACCTCCTCGATCTTGAAGCGTCACAGGGACGAGGATGGTGCGTACCCATCAAGTGAGTCTCTCGTGCTCTCTCGAGACGGTCGATCGAACGTTCAACTGCCGCTCAGGTCGTGTACTGTCCACTCCCGGCAAGCGACGGTGCGGCGCCCCTTCGACTGCAACACGTCGCTCGACGTCAACCTGTGTCGCTCCCTGTGAAGCCATGCGACGAAGGCAAAAGCTCTTGTGCAAGTGTTAGAGTATGTAGAAAGACTGACGTCTCACTTGCAGACGCAAAGGGCCCTCGATGCCGCCTGATGGGCATCGATACGACAGGAGGCACGTCACACTGATAAGTTGCGACTGCAGCAGCGATCAGAATGTCGCTAGTCAGTTTTATCGAGCGAGATCTCCCTCATCCGCTATTGCAACGTCCTAGTGGCTGCTACGGACACAGGATCGCGATCGGTGCTGCGCGTAGACGCTGACTGGCGCTTATAGGAGGAAGCTGCGTACATTGCCACATTGCGTCGAGGAGCATGACACCATCTGAAGTTCCAAGTCGACGAGGTCAATCGGATCATTGTGTGAGAGAGAGAGAGGATACGCGATCGGAGAGTTGTCTGCATCTAGAAGAGGGTTCGAACCCTTGCTTATCCTGCACGATGATAGATCTAGTTGCAGCACGTACTGGCTGCACGAGATCTGGGATGGAACTCGTGGAGAAGAAGAGACGGTGGTCATCATGCTCCGACTGAGGTACGTGGCGATTGTCCAGGTGACGAGCGTGGGCGAGCCGACCAGGCTGAAGTCAAGCGAGAAGTCCGTCGTACCTCGAATCTTAATCTATGGGCTCTGGGCGTACCACCTGTTGGCGGAAACGCCTCTGCAATCGAAGCAGACACTGGCAGACACAACAGCTGTGAACGATCCGTAAACAAGAGTCGGCAAGAGCCAGCACTTGGATCGGGATGACGCCGTTTCTAGTCGAGAAGATACTTTACAGCTTTCGAGGCTTCCGAGTCGTGTAGCTATGGTGTTGTCGTCACTTGTCTGCCTTGCTGAGAAGACCGTGTCGGTGTGAGATGAACTCTACGTTGTGTGCGACCGTAAGGCAAGTACGAGTTCCCAGCTGATCATGTGTACGTCCATCCGGACGCCACAATTGCAGCAAGTGTCTGGCTCGGCACCTTCGACTAAAAGCTAGAGGTACACAGCCATGAACTCCTGGTCAGCAACTTCTGCCTGACCGAGCGAGGGTGTCTTTTGGTCCTGCCGTACATTGAGCCTGCCACTTGCACGCATGTCTTCCTACGCGGTGTTGCGAATGCTCAAGCGTTTACCGCCAGGTCGTGTTTTAGAGCATCGCTTCAGAGCGTGAGCTGCCGTATTGCAAAATGCACACGTCCATATGAGCGCGTAGATGGTGTTTACGATCGTGACATTCAGGCTGGTCGTATACTGGCAGATCCCATTGCTGAACGAGTCTGTACATAACCAAAAAGCGTAGCACGAAAACGTCTCTAGCATTGCACTTCGACTTACAAAGTGCAGCTGCATTCGGCTGCTCCTTTCGTCACCATGACTACTGCTGCCACTGCGACACGTTCTGCACAATCATTATGGTCTGTGCGTCAGAGCCTGCGACCAGCACATCAGACTCGGCGTGAATCGCCACAGCGTTCCATGGCTGGGACCCGGAAGTGAGTTGCTGGACACGGAGGCCCCCCAATTCCTCAGACTGTCCGCTGGAAGGCGTGACAAGCGGGTCGAACGGGACCACGCTTTGGCTGTCGCTGCTTGCAGACCCGCTGTATCGCTCATATTCGACAGGATCGGAGGGGTTGCGACCATGGTGAAAGTCCCAGCGGTTCACCACGGCGTCGTCACTACCCGTGTAGAGATACCGAGGCTGTGCAGAGTGGACCTTCAGTGCCCGAACGGCACGATGGTGGTGCGTATCAGTTCGGAACGGTGCAGCAAGTTTACGTCGATCCCACAAGCTCACACAACCATCAGCGGCTCCTGTAATAAGTAGCTCGGGTCGCGTTGGGTGGGTCTCGAGCGAAGTCAAAAACGATCTTGAGCGCGTGCTGCATGTTACAGAGCCGAAGAAAGCATCAGCGTACTCACGCACGGCACACATTGACACAAACAGGCAACAGCACGTACTCCGGACAGGTCGCAATGGGGGACTGGTTATCCGCTGCGAGATCCCAGATCCGTAGCTGGCCCGCAGGGCTCGAGCTGCCAAAGCAAGCGGTCAGATCAGTTTGCCAGCACCAGCGCAAAATCTTCGACGATCAGGAGAGCTCACCCAACAGAAGCGACGACAGAGTCGCGGCCGAGAAACTTTACTGCATTGATCGGCAGTCTGCTCATGTCCTTGCGTTCTGCATCCAACAACAAGGTCAGCGTGTTCTCGCAAGTGTTTCGTACAACGTCATGTTCACATCCTCCTACGAGCTCCACACCGATTTTGACGACACTCGCGAATTCATCCAGTCTCAGCCACGCCAGAGCTCCGTCAGCACTGGCAGCCACGAGACTTGTGCGGCTTTCACTGACCTCGACGCACGTCGCTGCAGTGCCAGCAAACACTTGTTCCCACTGCGGCATCGCCAGCGCTGTCAACATCCCGTCCGCGTCTTCGTCCGTCATGGCGGTATCGTCAGCTGTCGTGCTAGACGACACGCGGTAGGCAAAGATGCCGCCCGTGGACGATGCACTGACCAGCAACTTTTCGTCTCGAGTGACTACAAACTGCAACGCGTTCACGCCTCCCTCGTGCTCCGTCGCAGCCACTGTCTTCAGCTCGCACGGACGTCCCCCATCGGTCGCTTCGTGTCTAGAAACAGAGTGAGTACACAAGCGAGAGGAACACCGTCAGACTGCACCGGTGCACGCGTTAGCCACCAGTTCTCCCAGCCACTAACGCACGAGAACTCTCGACGCAGACTCAGTTCGTCCAGCGTCGGACGCACTGGCGCGTGCAGTGTGATGTGATTGATCTGCAGCACGTCATGTACCCACGTGCCTCACAATAGTTAGTCGCTGTGTTCCCTGTAGTCCCTATTGCAATAGCGTTTGTGTTGACCTCACGCAAGACGCACCTCGTTGTCCCAGCCGCCAGACGCTACTGCAGGAAGGACATCGTACTTACTCAGCGCCGTCGCGGACGTGTAGCACACGTCGCTCACTACACACAGCGCCTTGACCTTCTCCGCCACGAAATGCCGTGAGACGGTGGCGCTCATTGTGCTCCTGGGACGCTCGTGATCCCGTAACTAGAAATAACGGACTGTAACAGCTGTCGAAATTTGAAAGCGGATACGCAAACGGATACGCCAAATGAAAAAGACGGTCTAAATTTGAAAGCGGATGCATACCCCAAATGAAAAAGACTGTCTAAAGTTAAAAGACAATACGCTACGACCATGTGATCATCCGGACAGCGCCACGAAGGACAAGCCATCGAGCTTTTTTCTTGCTTGTCCCTCCTCCTCTGCTTGTCCCTCCTCCTCTGCTTGTTCCTTCCTTCCTCGCTTCCTTCCTCGCTTCCTTCCTCGCTTCCTTCCTTCCTCTTCGTTTCTAGTCCCTCGCTGATGACTCTCCTCCACTCCAATTCGCTCCACGAAAACTGACGGGCGCAGCCGTGCAATGGCATACCAACCGTGACCTCCTGTAAGAACTCATCCATCCCCTTGACTGGCTCGTCGACAATGTGCTGTCGGGGGCGCAATCACTCTGTCTGAGGGGCATGACGGCGTCGAGGCTGGCTCGACGAAGACATTGCTTGCGACTTCTTGTCCTCCTTCTCCCCGTCTTCCTCGTCCTCCGAGTCGCTGCGGATGTCCTTCTCGACGTTGCCGTCACCCAGCGCCTTGATCACCATCTTGACGATCAAGAGACCCCAGTAGACGTGGAGCACGAGCAGGAGACACAAGAAGCCGAACCAGACGATGTACACCCAGTACCACACGGACGCATCAACGCCACGGTAGCTGCCAACCTCAATGATTGGCGCAACAATGTCCCGGTACGCAAACGCGTACACACTGTGCAGGATGTTGTACGAGTAGAAGAACCAGCGCACGAGAAACCACACGAGGGCAAAGAGTCCGAAGAAGACGTTGGCTACGGTCTCCCATTGCAAGTACACAAACACCTTGGCTGTCGTAGACAACAACAACAACAACCGCACGATCAACAACAGCAGTGTCAGCCTCACCCACGCTATCGTTCCATCCTACTTGTCTGTACAAGTCGTTGCTCATTCATGCATCAACAAGCACAGCATCGGACGCACCCGTTTCCAGTAACAAGTCGTTGACATCGTGGATCATGAGCACGCAGTGGCCGATCCTCGTGAGGTCGACGCTGTAGGAAAAGAGCATCAGCGAGATGGTCGCAAAGTGGTGCACCATCATCTCGGCATTGTCCTTGCGCTTGACCGTGTATTGTTTGTTCGTGAGGTTGAGCATAAAGTCGATGCTCTGGAGCCAGAAGCTCAGGTAGACCATGTAGTACCACCGCTCGGCCTCACTGGCGACCGCGGGGAAGTCCTGGAAGTACTCCTCCTTGTTGAGGAACCACGTCTCGTGCCAGCCAATGTAGAGGCCAAAGAGGTGGAAGGCGCCCACGGCCGCGTTCTTGTACAGCGACTCGCGCATTTTGTCCTCCTTGTCCTTCGTCAACCAGCCACTGGACAGCATGTACCGGACCGTGGGGCGGATGACCGCCGTGTCGACGACGTAGTGGTAGACGTACAGACCGACTAGGGACATGCCGAAGCGCATGGCCTCTGCGTAGGGGTCGCACTCGGTCAGGAAGCACGGCATTGTTCGAGGCGACGGGCGGAAGCGCGTGGCGCTGGACTGTGTGCGACGGCGTGTTGGGAGCGCAGCGGCTGGTTGGTCGTGCGTTGCGTAAACAGCGGCCGGAAAACGCCTTACGTCTATTTTGTGCAACGTATTGTGACATTGTGGGTCGTGGGCGTCCGAGCGGGTTATTGCAATACTTGCTTTTTAATGATGGTGCCATTGCTACAATTATGGACGGAGATGGGTTCATGATCTCGCGCACGCTCTTTTGTATCGTCGTTGTTGGCTGATGGAAAACAAATGATCGAGTAGCAGCAGCCCACGATAACTGATGCGCGTTGTGTCGGGTCGTATGTGGCTGAGCAGACCAGAAGGATTACGTATCGCACTGGTGCGGCGTAAGTCGTGAAGAATGTCCGCAGGTCGTACAGGACGGTATGGTGCAGTGCGAATGACAGCAAGTTCGACGTCGAAGGGTCGAGGGGACGCCGACGTCGCTAGAACGGAACAAGGAGTGACGAGTGGGACGTTTACAAGAGCAGTTGTGGCGAAGCTGATGGATACGATGTCAACTGTCGCCGACGGCCGCCGTCGTCGTCTTCGGCACCTGACTGAGGAGTCCACTGGAGGTGTCGTTGTCGCCATCGAGTTGCAGGTCGCAGGAACACGTTCGCTGAGAGGGGTCGTCCGTCATCCAGAAGCTAAAACGTCAGTGCAGTTGACTCGGCGACGTTAGACGCGTTCGTGGAGTGCTGTTCCGCCACGAGTGACACGAGCACCGACTATGGGTGCGCTAACCCAGCAGAACAACTCGCCAGTGCAACATGTATGTGTCTGCACGTCAAGTCGTGCACCTGCTGTTGCTGCTGGGACGTGATGATAGTCGCAGCAGTAGCTTCAAGATCCCTCTGTCGGCTGTGCTAGCGCACATTTGGAAGAAAGGAACGACGTTGCTACACGAGCTGCGGGGGTATAGTGGCATGTGGAATAGGTCGCATCATTGACCGAGTGTCGATACCGAACGCGACTATGCGCTCGGACCGGCAAGCAATGGCCATGTCGACGCTCTTTCCATAGTAACTTGTAGTCAAGATACGCTCCTGCGCACACGTCCGCCCACTGTGTGCAGAAGAGACGGCCGTCGCAACGACGACGTCTCGAGCGTATTTGACAATTGACGTTGGGATTGATGACGAAAGCGGAGGCGACGGGCGGAGTGGGTGTCGAAGTTGTGAGGTGCGCCACACCACCAAACACATCACTTGCCACTCATCTCTTCTTCGTATCGTCCGCCGTCATGTCCATCCACTTGCGCGCGCAGCTCTGTACGTGTCCATACGATAGACCTCTCTCTGTCTCCCGTCTGTATCTCTCTTCTGTACGTGTCCCTCACATGCGCTTCGCTTTCGTGTGCTTTTTGTTGCAGTTCTCATCCGTCCGCAGTCGCTCAAGCTCAGCGGCCGTGCCATCTCGACGACCAAAACGCTACAGAGTCGCTCGCGGTCGCTTGCGCTGCATCTCCCGGCGCGATCTCTTCCACAAAAGGCACACGTCGTTGTGGCTGGTGTTGTCACGAGTGCGTCGATGCTGTTGCTGCACAAGGACTCTGCTTGGTGCCAGCCCGCGGTGCGGTTGTTTGTGGATGGCTACATCGTGCAGGAGAAGTGTATCACTGGTCGCTTACCTGCGGCGTTGCTGCTTTATTGCAACACAGGACGGACCGTCCGACAGTGGCGACGGCAAGAAGCGGAAGAAGGCCGATGACTCGGTGGACAAGAAGATTGACGCGGTGCTGGGCAACTGCGGTGAGCTCACGCTGGCTGGCAGTCTGGGATTCTGCTCGGGCTACGCGCTCAAGCTGGTGGGCAAAGCTGCAGCACTGGCCGTGGGCCTCGTGTTCATTGTCGGGCAGGTGGCGGCCTACAATGGCTACATTGACATCAAGTGGGGAAAGCTGCAGAAGGACGCAATCGACAGGGTCGATCCTAACGGGGACGGCAAGATCGATGGCGTCGATCTCAAGCTGTGGTACCGCAGACTGCTTGCGATCATGAAGACCAAGCTCCCGTCGTCCGTGGGCTTCTCCAGTGGCTTCGCGCTCGGCATCTACTGCTCGTAAAGGTTGTCGTGCAAGTATACGCTCGATGTACGTCACCTTCGTCAACGTACGAGCACCGGTAGCAACGTGGTGGCAGTCGGGTTTTGTCACTTGCAGCCGTTATGGTAACAGTGAACACACTTTCGCAGCTCTTGTGTGCGTACGGACAACAACAGTGTTCTGGCGGGTAAACCGGTCGTGACAAAATAGACATCGCGTTGCTACGACGTGGTGCTGTCGCCTGCTCTACTCTGTTGGAAACGCTTTGGCCAGGAACCCAACGATAATGGACCGGTCGTCTGCACTGCTCACACCCATGCTCTTCAACTCGCGCGAAAACGCAGGCACGCTGCTGATTCCGTTGCTGATCAGGTTGAGGCCCAAGGTAGCGTATAAGATAATCTCTGGTCGAGTGAACGACAAGAACGTGTGCTTGGCGCTGTCGGAGCACGTAGGAAAGCAGTCTTGCCACAGCTTCTCGCGCAGCCGCGTCTTTTGATCGCTGTCCGCCATCTGTAGCAAAGGCAATGCACATCAAATCGCATCAGCCTTCCGACGTAGCGAGCGAGCGTCTCGTACATTTCAGACCCTACCGTCAGCCGCATGGACGATGCCATTTCGCCTACATCTTGATCAGCCTGTCAATTACGTCAAGACACAAGCACACAGTGCGTTATGGACAAGACTGCGTCAAGTGCTCAACGCTTGCCAAGAAAGACGAGCAGAGGATCCTACCGACACGCCCGCATCATGCAAGTCGTGAGCACGGAGCTGGAATCTTCGTGTAGCCAGCTGCGTTGCCTGCAGCACAAAGAGCACCATCACTATTGGTCAACAATCACATCTCAACGTACGCATCGTGTCGCAGCTTTCCTACGTCCGCGCAAGAAGACCCGTATCGCAGCAAGTCATCGTACCGTCATGTCCTTCTCGATATAAATCCTGTACGCTTCGTACGTCCGTAGTCGCGGCGTGAAGAGTTTAGGCTTCCACTCCTGCATACCCCACCAGCCAAGTGGCCGACAACCAACCGAGCAATCAACCAGTCATCAATCAGTCAGTTCATCACCTCCCCAGCTCCAGCATCAAGCGTGACATCGTGACAAGTGCGGCCTCCTCCCCACCTCCGCCTCGTCCTCTTCGTCCTCATTCTCGTCCTCATCCTCCTCGTCCACGTCCTCATTGTAATCAAACTCAATCGCAGCGATCCACCCCCTCTCCAACAGCCTCGCGAGAATGTGGCCAGCCATGCGCGTCCGCGCTTCGCCCACGAGCGTCGCGGCCGTTGCCGTTGCCGTCGGAGCTGCCGTCGGCACAGCGCCGTCCACCACGAGGTCAGCGTCGCTCTGCTCGCGCTTGACGGTCGTCACTTGCGTCGTAAAGAGCTGCACGCCGTCGCGCTCGAGCCACTCGCGCAGGACCGTCTCCTCCACGAACTCCATGTCGTTCTCGTCCGACGTCTCGAGGATTCCCGCGTGCTCCAGCAGCACAACAAACTCGTCTTCGCTCATACTGCGACTGCTATTGCCACGACGACGACGACGACGACGACGATGACGACGACGACGACGACGACGACGACTACTACTACTGCTGCTGCTGCTGCTGGTCCCTCTTTGATTAGCGCGTTATGGCGCCTCGGGACCGGCTGTTGTTTGTGTGTTTGTCAATCACATGTCGCACGAAAAAAGAGGCAGTGAGATCGCTGGTTGGCTCAGGTGTGTCACGTGGATACCGACAGCGATCCAGAGGTACTACCGGACGCAAAGTGCGACTTACCGACGGGGACCATCGAGAGCCTTTCGGCGTGTCGCACGTTTTCTTCCTTCTCTTTTCCGCCTCTTCCTCTTCAACAACAACAACAACAACAACCGACAACACAACATGAGATGTCGTTTGTAACTGCGCCCACCCACTTCAACGCCAATGCGACCAAAGTGAAGCCACTTTTGGAATTCGCGCAAGTCCAGACAAGTCTGTGGTCCCGTTTGTCAGACATATACATAGCGCGAGCAGTAGCAGTCGCTCGGTCGGTCGCTCGGGCGAGAGCCCATTCGATCCGTAGGCCGCAGACGCTGCTGGTCAACGTCTCTTTCATTGCAGCAATAGCGGCCACGCAGTTGCATGAACGACGTAAGTGCACGTTTCAGTAAGCGCCACAGCTCTATGTGCAAGAGCGTCCTACTGCTGGGGCTGCTACGGGCTACTGGTGCCCTGTGTAGCATTGCGACTCGAGGAGCACATGGCAACTCGCTACAGTCGCAGACCCGAGCAACGTGGCTACTCGACACGACCGATCCGGCGCTGTATGTGGTCGTGAGCTGCAAGAGGGGACAGGCTGCGTGTGTGGACCAGTGTGCAGAAGTCTCGTGCGCCAGCGATGCTGTGGGGCATTGTCCACTGAGTCGCACGTCCCGACAGGTGGTCCGTGTGGCTGACCGCTGCGCGAGTTGTCCGCTCGGGGCACTGCGCGTGTCTCGTGCTCACGTTGAGCAGCTCTCGGGAACGAGTCCGAGCGGGCAGTGGGTTGCCGTCCGGTGGAGGTATGTGGACTGTGCGGGCGAAGGCAGCAGCAGCAGTGTGCAGGAGACGGACGGAACGACGCGCGCTGCATCCAGCAGTCAGACGTACACGACGTCAACGTTCGAAGATGCAGTGAAAGAGCCGACTCGGGACGGAGTTCTCCATTACTTGGCGTCAAGTGACGACGACGACGACGACGATGGAGCTGCAGAGGTCGTCGACACGTCGTTTGGACCATCACGTGTGGCTAACGACAGCGGCAGTCAAATGGGAACGAACGGCAGCGGCAGCTACAGCGACCGCACCTTTGCTCTACCGAGCGGGTCCAGTTCAACGGCTCCTCCTGACGATTCGTCGTCGTCGTCTTCTTCCTCCTCATCGGACAGTGGCGCTTTGCCTCCGCCGCCGACACTGACGTTTCCTCGTACTGTATCGACATTCGACCGCGTATCTTCCAGCGACGACAATGCGAGCAGCAGCACAGCAGCTTCTTCCGGGACCGTCAATGAGGACGCGAGCTACTCGGTCGGCACAGTGACAACGGCTGACATTGACAGTCTCTTCAATTCCACGTCAACGGGTAAGTCAGGTGCAACGGACCCGCTACCGACACCGACGACAGAACCCTCCGCCCACGTGCCGGACGGCGACAGTGACGACACGTCGATGGCAACTTCTGCCGTGACGAAGAGCCCGTTCTTCTACGCGGCCATCTTACTCGGCCTCGTGGGCCTCATTGGCCTCGTTGTCGGCCATCGCGCCAAGCAGAAACGAAGCGGCGGCAACGCTCGGCGAGCGTTTCAGCGGTCGGTCGGAACCGTTACCCCCACGTCCGCGTCCTGTCCGGCCCGTTTGTCCCGCACGACTCGAGCGAGCCGCCACACCATTGCGATTCTATGACCAACTGACTCGCCTCTTGGCCCGAGCTCGTTGGTGGCCATGCAGACGCGACGCCGTGTGCCGTTCTGAAACGCAGGCTACTGATATTTCGCCTGCCAGCGCGTTGAACCGACTTTGCTGAATCTCCGGACTCTTCGCGCGGCTCGTGTCGCTTCGACACATATGAGGCGAACGGGTGGCGTGTCTCCGCCCGGCGCACGTCTCTTGGCTCACTTTACAACTGGCAGCACCATGCACAAGGCGGCGCTGTCTACACCCATTGCGCTACTGTTGCAGCTGCTGCTGCTGCTGCTGGTACTGGTGCTACTTGCTGTCCAAGTAGACGCACGCGAGTGTCAAGAGACCACTGTCTTGGCACCCAAAGCCAGCGCCGCTGTCTCGACCGTTCGGACCGAGAGAGACCTCGTGCACGACACTGCGAGAGGACCACACAGCAGTTACGCAGCGCATGATGCCGAGATCGTAGGGGCTGTGCGTGGCGCTATGCTATGCAGCAAAGTCGAGTCATCAACGCCGCCTTCGAGTCGTCCGAGCTCGAACGTGTCTGCTCAAGCCAAACCCCCTCTGGCCACAGCTCCGTCGTCCAAGCTGCTCGCCTCGAGCCTCAGTGACGTACACGCCCCACCTCCTGTAGTCGCAGCACGCGGCGTCAACGGCCTCGCAGCTTCCAGCAACGGGAGACACAAGTCCGGCGTTAACGGCGTCAGACCCGTCGAGTCGAACGTGGACAGCACGTTTGTCCCTGCGACAGCGTCTCGAGCGTCCGTTTCGTCCAGCACACCGCTCGCTTCCTCTTCCGTGCACGAGACCGCCCACGATCCGCCGGCCAAAGCTGCACCGACAGTTGTGTCCAGCAGCAGCAGCCACAACGCCAGCAGCACTGCTTTGAGCCATTATAGCGAGCGCGTGCCCGTGAAGAGCACGTTCCTCGAGCTCTCGAGCGCCCCCACCCACGTCGACGACGACAGCGCGGCACCAGCTGCTGCCTCGCGTCCCACGAGCAAAGCGACAGTGTCCACAGGCAAAGCGGTCGACGCAGCTGCCAGCGCCACACAGACCAAAGCCGACCCCAGCAGCGCCGCGTCCAGTAGCAGCTCTTCGTCCGCGAGCCGTCTGCTCTTCTACTCGTGTCTCGCCGTGGGCGTTGCGGGTCTCGTTGGCGCTGTGCTCCTGTACACGACCGAGCACCGGACAGGCGCCAAGCAGCAGCAGCAGCAGCAGCAGCCGCGGGGCAGCGACGGGGCGGACGCGATGCCCCGCGCGACGTGGGCGCCGCGGCCCAGTGAAGTGCACGTTGTCATGGACGGACGCAACTTTGCCATTTTATAAAAAGCACCTTTTATGGGTTGCGAAACACTGAAAATACGACCGATCCGTTTGTACAGAGTGATGGTCGTCTTCGGCTGCTTCTGCTTCTGCTTCTTCTTCTGTGCAGCCCACAGACTGCGTCGTGTCCTGCAGGTCGAGCAATGAACGCGGTGACGACGACGCCGTCGCGACTCCCGTCGGGCGCTGTACGCACGACGGATGGAGATGTGATAGTACCTGCTACACGTCGAGCCGACGGGTCGCTGCGCAAACCCATCCGCATTCGCAAGGGCTACGTGCCACAGGAAGAGGTCCCCAAGTACAAGACCATCGCGCAGCGGGTGCGTGTTCCGTCGTCCTGCCACTGGTCCTGGTCTGCTTGTGGCTCTAGACGTGTACTGGACTCGATGTACTGCTTTGTTTATAATGTGCTTTTTGTTTGCTTTTTTGTGGTTGATGGGCATCGATGGACGTACATGACAGCGACGTGAGCAAGAGGCCAAAAAAGCAGACGATACTGCTACTGCGGTGGACGAGCTGTCGATGGATACGCTGTCATTGGCAGAGACGAGCAAAGCGGTTGGGGGGAAGCAGAGATGTCGCAGCAGTGCAGAAAGACGTGACGACGGAGCGAGAGGCAAAGATCGTCAGCCGCAGCTGCCCAAGGACAAAGGAGACGTGACAATGCCCGTCGAGACGTCGAGTGAATGTGCTGGCGACGCTCAACAGCGTCTGAAGCAGAAGTTGACGGGAATCAACAGGCAGCTCAAGGAGATGGAGCAGCAAATGGACGGGAAAGGGCGAACGTTGTCGCGACAGGAGAAGCAGACGGTGGAGAGCAAGGCAGCGCTGCAGCAGCAGAGGAAGGAGATCATTGCAGAGCTCAACGGCGCTACTGTCACGACGTCGACGAGTGGACCCCGTCCGAAAGTCTCGATTAGCTTGTAACTGAATGCAGCTGGCTGGAAGTGTGGTCATTGTTCGCATTCGTGCAACGGGTCTTGCAGCGGATATGACACACCACGAGCCGCTTCTCTACCAACCATCGACGCACACGAGACTCGTTGAATCGCTACGGCAGTGATGAACCTGTTGTGTGCGTTTCCGCTACTGGTAACGACTACGCCGTTGGGACAGCCGGAGACGCAACGTCCGCCATGTTGTCCACCCATCCCCACGCAATGACCGAGATACGACCTTCGTCCCGCACTGGCACATCGTGGAGAATGCCGTGGCGCCAAAGCACGTTTGTGTCCCGCGAAAAGGCGTAGACGCATCCGTCCGGCTGCGGCACACTCACTACGGTTTTGGTCGTTGCGTGCTCAAAAGCGGCATCCCGCGTAGCTCCAAACGAGACGCCGACCGTGAAGTTCTGAATGGTGGCGAGGTGAGGCTTTACCGCCGCTGCGTCAAAGTGGAACGGTTTCCACTGCGACGTGTCCTTGTACCAGTTGAAGCGAGTCGCTTTGATGTCAAGATGGAAGAACCGCTTGAGTCGGTCCGTGACGAGGTCGAACGTAGGGCACTTGGCCTTCCAACTTGACCGGTCGTCTACAATGAGATGCGTGCCGTCAATCTTGTCGTTGCCGTGCCACATCTTCAGCAACTGCTCACGTGGGATGTCGCAGTGGTCCAACTCGTGCATGAGCTTAGCGTAGAGCTCACCCTTTTTGTAGTCGCTGAAGAGGTTGGGCACGAGCACGACGTCACGCGAAGTCAGCGGCGTCGAGAACTGAGCATCTTTCGAGCCCAGGTCGAACGTGATGCGGAGATCCACTGGTTTGATCATCGGCTCGAAGCTCTCGGTGTTTTTCTTGCTGGTCTGACGTCTGTCGTGGCTCTTCTTCTTCTTCTTCGTCTTCGTCTTGGTCTCCTTCTCCTTTTGCTTGTCGTGCTTGTCCACAGTACCAGCCTCTGCTTCTCTAGACGTGCTGCTGCTCGACTCCTGGTCTTTTGCCGCTTCACTCGTGGACTTCTTGTCGTCATCGCTCGACTTCCGGCCACTTGTCATCTGCATGTCCTTCATCATCTTTGTCATGTCCTTCCCCACGACCGTATGTGTCTTCTCCTTCTTCTTCTCCTCCATGTTCGTCGGCTTCTTCTTTTCCCCCTGCTCTTCCCCATTCAAAGCCGCTGAACCAGCGCGTTCCGCTTTCTCCTCAGCGTCCGACTCGCGTCGGGTCACAAAGTGGTTCTTGCGGCACTTGTCGCCAAACCTGCAGTCGCCACTCCTCCAGAAGAACTGACACAGCGCTTTGTCATGGACGTATCTGCAGCCCACGCGCACGCACTTTTTTTCTGCATGAACGACCGACACACTGTCTTGAACAGACCTGCGTCGTCGTCAAAGGGACGCGGAGCTTTTCCCTGTCGCGCGGCTTTAGCTGAGACCTTTCGGTTGGGCGTCAACTGAGCCGGGACATTCTCCATCGGAGGCGCGGTCTCGTCCGACGTGATCGTTGAAGGCACTTCTGCCGTCATGTTGACGACGTCGATCTTCTGCACAATGTCGTCTGGTTGAAGGCGCTCTGCAGGGGAACGAGAGCGAGTCGTGCTCTGCGCCAACCTCAACAGGCAGAGGACGTATGACGCGAGAGAAGGTACGAAAAAACAGTGACGACTGGCTCAGAGCCCCCGATGACTTGGCCACTCCTTGCACCGCACATCGGGTCCGCTTCATGCCGCGGTTTTCTGTTGATTGGATCGAGTACGTCTCCCTTTGACTAATGGCGGTCTGTCTAGACAGTCGCTCGTGTTGCCGGTGTGGTGTCTATGAGCACATCGTCGCTTCCGTTCTGATCGAGAGACGGCAATTGCCATCCCGTGCGAGCACTTACTGACTGTGTGCGAGGAGTATCTGGTCTTTGCCGTATTGCTGCTGCCACTCTGTACAAAGGCTGCGTCGTGCCGCATGCTCAAGTCGGAGCAGGTTTGCCATCGATGAGAACGACCTCAGCCAATGCAGAGGACGCGACGCGAGTGCATTCCACTCACGTGTACGCTCTTCTTGTCCATCTCGAAGGCGTTGCGCTTCTCTGCGTGATCCGAAAGCACTCCACAGACGAGAAGAACAGGTTGCAATCAGAGCGAGAAGGCCAAGTTGCAATCAGAGCGAGAGGCTGATGAGATCGGTACTGGAAAAGCTTCGCGAGAGGAACAGCAGAGCGCCGTCTCTCGGCGGTGGTCAAACCATACAAAGAACAGGCGTCGGGAAACGAAACGGATGCTACGAGGCGACGGCGCGATGCCTTTCTGATGCTTTCTCCGGTCGTGTGTAACGTGAGCACAGAAGTCGCATGTGATCGAGTTGTTTCGGGGATAGTCGTCTCATGGACACGATGTTGTGCTCATGAGTCAGCAGGAGAACAGTGGGAAACAGCGGAGAGCTTCGACAGCCCCGTGACTTCTGTCTCGATTGTCTCGCTTTGCACTCATGATATTGACACGAGGCCGTCATGACAGGGCACAAAGTCGACGGGCCCCGTTTAGCTGGTGCCTCGCGTAGTACGCAGCGCATTCGATGTTGACGGCTCTTTTCGTGGCCGCACTTGCCAACTTTTCTCTCTACGTCATCTACGATCGCTGACCGAGCAATGTCGTCAGTTGTGGCTGACGGGAACGCATTCCTCTTGTCGGCAAGTCATCGCTTGCAGCAGAGCGGTCGATCAGTAATATCGCCAGACCGGTCCATGATGTACCAAAAGTGGTTCGCGTGAATGGGTCCGTGGTCCTCCTGCCACCACTGCTCGATGCTTTCTGTGAGTCGCACCAGTCACTGAAATGGCGTCCGTCCGCCTCGTGTCTGTTGCTGCTCTGTTGCAATACCACTGGCGCTCGAGCGATACTCAATACATATGGGCCAAAATCTAGCAAAGTGGCTCTCCACGTGGTGCATTGGTCGTGTCTTGGCCCAGATGGGCAATCAGAACTCCGGTTGCTGTGCATAGTTGCAGCACTGGATCAAAGTAGGCTGTTGCAAGTCCCTTGTGTCGGAGGGGATCGCGAAGGGAGATACAAGTTTAGTCTGCAGGTGGCGTATACTGCGGCTTCGTGCACGACAGAATGCTATCTCGTTCGAGAAGCGTCCAAACACAGTCCATGAAAGACACGTCCTTCGTGTGCACAGACTTCCCTTCCAAGCCTTCGAGGCCTCATGGCTTCGTCCCTGCGACGTCCTGTGCCCCTCGTTTTTCGTTGGACGGCAAACAAACGCAGTCCGACTTTTGTCGGAAGACAAGTGTCTCGCTCTCTCGAGTGCGCGCACCTGAAGGGCGTAGGTGCTAAGAGGGCATTCGTGCAGTGGCAACGTGATTAGAGGTGAGCTCAAGTACGTTCTGCACAAGTCTTTCGTTGCGAGAAAAAGGTGACAGCACATATTGGAAAACGTTGGAGGGAGTTGCGGGGAAGCACTTGGTGAGCTGTGGGCGAAGGAGTTGAAGGGATACGGGCGAAGGTCGCAGTATCGCGATGCCAACATGTCATCGGCGTGCCGGAAGTGTCATGTCATCGGTTACGTGTCGCCAGGAGCACGTCAAATGTCCAGCCAAGTTTCTCCGAAGCGTCGGAACTTGTATCGACGTTTTGCTTTTTATATAAATGGATCAAAACTGCTGACAGAGGTCATCGTGAGCGCATTGTTTGTTCGTTCACTGTCAACTGGCGCAATCGTTTTTTTTACCTGCTGTAATGGATATATCGTTTTACTGACGTAAACGAGAGGTTTTGATCCGCTGCTTTTTTTGCTTAGAAACAGCTTTATGTCTGAAAGACTATCGCTTCATGTTTGATCGTTATCGGTAAAAAGGATACGCGATGTTTACGGCGGTTGCTTGCTGTCGACCGGGCCTTTCTGAATTCCCGTCAAATTTTGTCCTGCGGGTAGGGATACAGTGCCTTTCCGTCCAAAGATTCCCTTGTGATGACTGTAAAAGCACCGACTCTTTGTGCTCCATACCACCTTGTGTGCCAGTCTCCTATCCGACGAGATGCCGCAGGTGATCTAAAAGAAGGTGCTACCCTACTTATCCACCCGATCGTCAAGGTACGCAAAGCCAAAACTGCTTTCTAATACAGTTGCGATCAACGCTATTTGTGGTTTGGCGTCAACGAAGTACAAAAAGGTGTGCCACAATGTAGAGACGGCACCGATATTGCGAAAGTGTGCTACGCAGAGCTGATATCCGAAGGCCAAAGACGTTAGGGACAGGGTCTGTTTGTTCTCGATCGCGGTCGCTTCTCCCAGTATCCGATGAAGAATCTGTGGTACAGCGTACCAATGTACCAGCGCCACGCGTTGTACCGGATACGCACGACCAGAAACGTCGCACGGTCAAATTTTCAGTTGAACGACCACGTTAACGGGCTGCCGTTGCGCAAATAGCACCGCTGTCTTCGTGAAGCAATGAGGTTGCACGAATGTGCGCTCGAGCTTGTTTCCGAGTCGCTTCGTGGGCTGTTGTCGCTTACGGCTACGAATGGACCGGGCACGGGCGAAGAATGTGCAGCACTCAATGATCCCACTTTGCTATTGTAGCACATGGAACTGTCCTATGGGTCTGTCAGCTTTACTACCGTCAGTGTCAGTGCTTTACTTGTAGCTGAGATGCGGCACTTATTCACATGTAGTCGCAGACTGCACCTTGCACACACACGCTCGTGCACCGATCTGAAAGAGTCACCATTACCGTCGTACTACCAGTAGTAGGTGTCTCTTGGTCCGTCGAGTCTGCCCGATCTCGCTCACGACCCATCATCTTTAGTCCACATATAGGCAGCCACTCCAGTAGGACCGCTCTACAGCATGAGACCGACTGATATAGGCGATTGCTGGTCGATGGTCACCTCTTGTGGGCAGTCCGAGAGACGTCTGTGTCTGTGAATGTGGTGGTAGTTGGTCGGCTACCGATAGAGCATCCGCTGCGTTGAGGCACAGCTTGTGCCGCTCCCCTCTCAGCCACGGAACACGCTCGATCGCGTCCCGTCCGTCGGAGCAAACTCGTGCGACAGAAAGGGGACGCCACGCGACTGTGTGGGTGGGTGTGCGTGTGCGGTGTGTGTGTGTGTGTGTGTGTGTGTGCGTGAGGGGAAAGCCGCTAAAGCCCAAGTGAAGCGCTGGGCAACGATCTTGAAGCTGGGCGGCCCGTGGCGTCCGCAAACAGCCACGCGCGCGGCAATTCGCACTTGTGCGGGAGTCTCGACTTTAGCATTTGCAATAATAACTCGACGGGGTTTTTCAGCCCCCGCGCTGCCGGTGGTTTTTCCGTCGAGAGGGGAGGGAGGAGTTTTTTCCCGCCCGCCGGCACGGAAGCCGAGCCAGTTCCAGATCTGCGCTGCCCCCAGCCAAACACTCCCTCGCCCGTGCCGGCCCTCTCGTCGCGCTCGGCTCTCTGCTCTCTGCTTGCCCACGTTCTCGCCTTTCGCTCTCTTGCAGCCGTTGCCGTCTGCGATGGTTCGTGGAGCGGTTGGACGACCGAAAAAGGCCGCGGGCGACCACACGCGCAAGCCCCGCAAGAAAAAAGACAAGAACGCGCCCAAGCGCGCGCTGTCGGCGTTCATGTTCTTTAGCAATGACATTCGCGACACGGTGAAGAAGGAGATGCCGGAGCTGCAGTTCCTCGAGATCTCGAGCGAAATTGGCCGTCGCTGGAAGAAGATCACGGACGAGGAGCGCCGGGTACGCCGGTCGTCACTCTGTTGGCTCGGTGTTGGGATTACGTCGGTCTTGATTCTAACGAAGTGTCCATTGTGTGTTGCTGCTGCTGCTGTTGCTGTTGTTGTTGTTGTTGTTGTTGCTCTGTTGTAGCCATACGACGAGCTGGCGGCCGCCGACAAGCGGAGATATATGGAAGAGAAGGAGGACTACGTGCCGGACCCGTCGTTCGAGGCGACCAAAGGCACGCGCAAGAAGAAGGACCCGAACGCGCCCAAGCGCGCGCTGTCGGCCTACTTCTTCTTTTGCAACGACATTCGCCAAGAGACCCGTGACGAGAACCCGAGCAAGAAGATCACGGAGATTGCCACGCTCTTGGCCGAGAAGTGGCGTGCGCTGCCGGACAAGAAGCGCGTCAAGTACCAGAAGATGCACGAAGAGGCGAAGGCCAAGTACCTGCAGCAGATGGACGTGTACAACTCGACCGACGTGGTGGTGCCCGAGCCAGACGAGGTGGACCACGACGACGACGACGACGACGACGACGATGACGACGAATAGGCGGAGGTCGGCGACGTCTTCACTCGCGCTCGTACGTGCGCACGCACGCGCGCGCGCCCTCTCTGTTGCTGGACAAGCTGCTTGGAGCTTGACTAGCAGCGAGCTGGTTGGCAGTCCGCACGCAGTGGATGCAGCATACGCGCCCGGCTAGTAATCAGGAAGAGGAAGAGTGAAGCAGGCCGACAAGTGGCGCGTCGTTTGGTGCGCTGCGCTTTCCCATAGCTCGTAGTATGCTGGACACATGGTACCCTCTTTTTATACTTTGAAGCTTTCGGTAACGTTTGTTGGCTGCTGGTTTCGATCGTCTGCGGAGTCGCGTTGAGACTGAAGCGTCAACGTGTGTCGATCTTGTCGTCGCGGTCACGTACGCCCATTACCGCGGCTTTTGTCCGACAGCCATTTTGTTCAGTGCTCGTACGAAGGAGTCACTTCTTCCGGAGACGTCAAAGCGTAGGGGACCTATTCGTTTCAAGCCATGTTGCATCGTATCTGGCTGTTTTCTATGCCCAAGCGACAGAACAGAACAGGATCCGTGTTACGAGCAACACCCTCACGAGACGACGAGCCGAACCGGCAGACCATCAACGACGACGACGCAACATGACCAGACCCGCTATTATTCACCAATGTCGTCTATTAAGTAGGTAACTAACTATGCACAGTCGCCTCGGCCAGGCAGCTTCGGCATCTCGCTCCATGACAATATTGACCTGCTAATGCAGCAGCACGTCAAAGTCCGGGGTCACAACGAGATGGCGCTCCACGTTGCCCAGAATGCTCAACTGCTTCTCACTCGTGTTCACGGCATAAATCTCTTCACAAAAAGACGGCGTCTGGGCCGCTGCTACATCAAACTGCTTGTCGCCGAGCATTAGCACCATCTTGCCCGACTTGTGCACGCAGATCTATCGGCAGTGAGCATCGCGCAGCACAGCGGACGCGGTCAACATCGAGCACAGAATACAGCACAACCCGTCATGTCGTACCTTGCCAATATATCCGCCCGGCGCAGTCTCAATCGAGTGGTCAAACACTCCGTCGTCACTGTCAACAAACACACAGCCACGACATGAGAAGTGTCGTACAGACGTTGGCATACACTACATGCACGTACGGAGACTCGTCCGAGCTTGCGTTCTCCTTCGTCTTCTTCGTTTCCTGCTCTTTTGCATCTTCCGCACCGTCCATCGGATCGTCTTCATCAGCTTTAGTAACTTTGGTCACAACACTTGACAGTGGCAACGTCGTCGGCAGCTGAATGAAAAACAGCGAATCATCCATCGCCACCAAGTCGCCGCTTGGGCCGCAAAAGATAGCGCCAGCACTCTCCGGTTCCGGCGGTCGCACGATCGGTAAACTCATGGGCTCCATGACCGACTTGATTACTGGCGGCCACACCTGCTCTTCTTCGACGATCGCCACCTTGCCGCCGGGCATCTCTGCTTCATCCAGTACACTAATACCGGTGCCACCTGCAGCTGAGTAATCGGCATACGCCGACGTCGTTCGTGGAGCGGGTGTGTTGCTGCCTCCACCGTACGACGACCCACTCGAGAGCGTGCCGACGAACGCAACTTTACCACTTGGCAAGAAGCCCCGTCCCCGTCCACGACCTCGTCCACGACCACCTCCACGACCTGGGCCTCTGCCTTCCCTGCGTCCCCGATCGTCGTGTCGAAGCGCTCCTGCGCCGATCGAGTGCGGCTTTGCATCGTACGAGCGCTGGGCGCCAACACCGACGTCCTCTTCGCGTCCGGTTTCCAGCGCGGTACGACGTTTAGCCGCTTTTGGCACGAACTTGGGCCGTCGCGTCGAGCCACTGGCTGTGGCTGCGTCGCTCGAAGCACGAAAAGACCTGAGGATGGAGAGAGAGAGAGAGATACACACACAGCTTGAGAGGGCTAGAGACACAACTGGAATGCGACTACCACCGACAAGCAGATCAGCAGCGAAAGTGTGGCGAGCGACGTACGGGAGACGTGTGCCGGACGCGTCGACGCGCGGACGGACGTCGCTCGTCTGCTGCTTTCCAGTCATTCGGAACGTTTGCTGAGTCTCTTCGACGACAGGCTCAGAGGCGTTTCGTGGGGTACGTACCACTCTCGCACTTGACCGAGGGCGCAGAAGGGGTACACTGGGTTACGCTGTGTACCACTCCCCGCCCCACCAAATGTATCCGTTTGTGCGCAGAGATAGATATAGTCGTAAGCCGCAGACTACGTGCGCGATGTCGGGTCGTGTCCGCCACGAGGACCTTTCGGTCACGTAGGCAGTTTGATGTGATCGGTACGAGCTCAACGACGTTTGGATGCACAGCGTGTGTCGCACGCGCTTCGTCTCCGCTCGCTCGTTTACGAACGTACGTACGTACGTACGTACGCACGAGAGAGAGAGAGAGAGACAGCGACAAAGGTGTCGTATCTCTCTGTTCGTATCGCAGTTCTTTCGACTGGCATACAAACATCAAGTGAATGAGGCGCAAGCACTCGCTCGGCACAAGTATTTCGAGCTTTCGCTGCCTTCGACACACCAAAGAAGTCGTTCGTCTCGGCCGGTTGTCAGTGGCCCTCATGTGCAAAGACAAGGTGCGCAATGTACCCCCCACGATCTTTGGCGACATCTGTTTCGACGAGAAAACACATGAGTCGTCAAGGCCACCAAACTGCCTCTTCGCCGTACTGGCGAACGGCGCTCCGCCAGCCAAACGACCAACGAACGAGTCTTTGGCAACTCGTTTGGGCGCAAACGTTCGGCACGTGACCATTCGCTCGTGGGTCGACTGATATATCGATGTTTCAGTATGCGATCATGTCGCAAGCTTCGCACAGCGCGCATTGCGGTGTCGTTCTGGTACCGTAATGGCTGCTTTTCGGGCGTGCAAAGGGTCAGTCGGGTCACACCGCAGGCATACATACATACATACATACAAATGTGTGCGCCCCGCGTCCGCCATCTCAGCACCGTCGCATACAAAGTCGTTGATAGTCGAGGCCGGATCGCCCGCCCCCTTTCAAAGTCGCTCCCTCGCACTTGGTTTCACTATGCGTCGCTGGTAAAGGGTTCGCCGGCCTCCTCCCTCCCTCCTCTCTCTCTCTCTCTCTCTCTCTCTCTCTCTCTCGCTCTAATCATGCAGCAGACCAATGACTGGCAAGTGAGGAGCTTCTCAGCCGCACCCCCGTAAGGTTTCAGTCCGCATTCTTCCGCGAGAAGTCAGACCAGCGGCTCCACCGGCTCCTTGGCCCGCACCACCGCAGCAGTAGCAGCCACCGCCGCCACCGGCAGACCCGCGCAGTGCACTGCATGGCTTCGACCGAACGGATGACGTCCCCGACGTTGGCCGCTGTCGCTCCACCACCACCAGCAGCAACAGCAGCAGAGCCGTCGCCCCCCGCAGTAGCAATAGCCTCAGCCACAGCAGCGCCAGTCAAGAAGCGCAAGGCCAGCGGCGCGCCCTCTGGTTGCCGCGAGACCGGCAGCACGTCGACGCACTGCTCGCTCTGCGGCTTTGGCGCCTCGACGCTCGACCACCTGCTCACACACGTGCGGGAGGCGCACGACCGGAGCCACGAGGCCGCGTCGCCAATGGGTACGTTCGGTACACTCGCGCAACTGCAACTGCTGCTGCGCTATCTATGGCTCGACAGCGTCTACGTCTTCACACACACTCACACGCACACAAACACTCACTTGTTGTCTCCGTCTCTCTCTCTCCTTACGTCTTTCTGTCTCTCTATGCTACAGCGCTGCCGCTTCAAGTGGCCCAGATGGTGGTCCAACGAGCTCTTGACCAGGCAGCTCTGGGAGGCGCCACGAGCGCGTGGCTTAGCGACATGCAGCACGAGTTTGCCGCCGCAGCTGAGTTGGCGACAGCACTCGAGCGACGCGACGCGCACGGAGTGGCCACAGCGGTCGGGCGCCTGCACGGCGGCACGCGGTCGGGAGACGAGCGGACGCTGTCGGCGACGCTGCAACAGGCCGCGCAGATCTTGCTCCGGTCACTGCCTGCAGCACCGACAGGGGCCGACGCCTCGTCGGTGGCCGTTGTGGCGATCAAACAGGAGGAGAAGGAGGTGTACAGTGAAGCAGGTGGAGCTGTTGCTGGCGCTAGAGCCGGAGCAATAGATGTAGACGACGCTGCAGAGGGACTACTGCCAAAGGGAAAAGACTCGAGTATCCACGAAGCTGAAGCCGCACAGGCGCTCACGGGGCTACGGGCTACAGCCTCGAGCAGCGCGACGACGACGGAAGCCACGATGGCTGCAGCTCCGGTGGCGACAGCGACTTCGTCTGTGTGGCCGCCGGCTGCACCAAAGCCGACTCCAATGGCTCCTCAAGCCTCGTTCCCGTCGTTCACGCTCGGTTCGCCGTTGAGTATCACTGCGCCGACCTTGCAACTGAGCAGTCCCCACTTTCCGTCGTCCGACGGCGTGTACACTGGTGCTAGTGCTCGACGGTCGCCGGGTACGCAGTCGTCGTTGCCAAGCCTATTTGCACGGAGTCTGTTGGCACCGCTGGCGTCGCCGTCCAGCGTCGCGGACCCCGGGAACGGCTTGGCGCAAGGTGTGGCGACGGACACGGGTTACATGAACCCCATGATGGTCACGGACCACCGCAACTCGTTGGGTTCGACGCTTCGACCCGAGCCGACGTCAGCATTTCTCACGCCAGTGTACTACTCGTCATTCCCCACGTTTTCGACGACTACTGCTGGCGCCATGCACGGCACACCGACGATGAATCGACCGACGTTGGCGTCCCCCGTCAAGCGGAAAAGTATCACATCGAAGCAGCTCATAGTACGATGCGATGCGGAAGTCGCAGCTGTCCGAGCCGCCACGTCCACAGCTGCAGGAGCCGACACAAGTGGGCTGGCATCGCTCGGATCGATTTCAGTGTCGGGGACACCCACGACGCCTGCGACCCGCAAAGCCACTCCTCGACGCTGGACCAAGGAAGAGGACGACGCATTACGTTCGGCTGTGGAGAACCACCGCGAGAAGAACTGGAAGGCGATCGCTGCGCAAGTACCTGGTCGCAACCACACGCAGTGTCTTCAGCGATGGACGAAAGTGCTGGCTCCAGGTCTTGTGAAAGGCCACTGGTCGCCGCACGAGGATGAGCTGCTGCGACGTCTCGTAGCGACGGAGCAGAAGAACTGGGGCGACGTGGCCTCGAAGATTCCGGGCCGCACGTCGAAGCAGTGCCGGGAGCGCTGGCACAACCATTTGGATCCGCAGATCGTGCGCGGCGCCTACACTCCCGAGGAAGACCGTCTGATCCTCGAGGCACAAGCGCGATTGGGCAATCGCTGGTCCGTCATCGCCGCCATGTTACCGGGACGGACTGAAGACGCTGTCAAGATCCGCTGGAAGTCGCACTGCCGCTTATGGCGGGCGCGCAAGTACTTGCGGAAGAACCCCAACAGCGACGTCGACATGATGAGCGAACCGACGCAGACGCCGCGAACGCCGTTAGTGCCTCCGACGGGCGATTTCAAGTGGCCCGTGCCCTTTCCGTGTGGTGCCGTCGACGAGCACGAGTCAAATGCGGGCACTGATGTGATGGGGCGAGCCGACTAAGCTGCAAAGCGAACGATCGACAGTGGGCGACGGCAGTGGACGTCGGTAGTAAACGGCAGTGGACGTGAGTGGACGTAATCTCTAAATATGAACCTGTACTGTACCTGCGACGCCGCGTTGTGCTCAACAGCAAACACAGAGTGACCGAACGTGCCCACAGCTGTTGTGAGTGGCTGAAACTCCGCACCAGCGCCGCCAGTCATCGGAAATGCTCATGACGGTGCGTAGCTCTTCGCTCGATCGCTGCCGTCCTCTCTGTCGGCCTCCAACTACCAAATGCCGTACTGATCTCTCTCTCTGTGTCTGTGTGTGTCTGTGCATGTCTGTGTGTGTCTGTGTGTGTCTGTGTGTGTCTGTGTGTGTCTGTGTGTGTCTGTGCATGTCTGTGTACGTCTGTGTACGTCTGTCGTGTTCGCTGCTCACTTGTTGCTCGCAGACGCGGTCTATCGAGCTCGCTGCCCAGCCAACGTACCTCGACAGCAGCTCATCGGACCACGCGAGTCTCGCGGTGCTCCGAGCCATTGGCGTCTCCATCGCCGAGTGCTCTTCCAGCTCGACTTTGAGCGCAGGCGACTTCGTGGTGGACGTGACGACGGACGAAGCGCTGCAGAACGAGCACTCGAGCGCGCGTGACATCGTCTACAAGGTCGTGACTGGCCGCGTGTTCCTCGACGCTCGGGACTCGGCCGACTGCTGGGTCCGCTGCAATCTGATTGAGGGCATGGAGGTTACGCTGAGGCCGCAGACGCTGCGCCGCTTTGTTCCTGTCACGGGTAACGCTGTGCAACTGGTGGAAAGTAGAGACGGACCGCGGAGTCTGCTGCCTCGCTACACTCGACCGACCGATGCGGCAAATCACTTGACGCTAGTGGATGCCAGGGCAAGTCGGGAGCTCGTGTGTGAGCTCTGTCGTCTGTACTACACGACGGGGTGGATGATGGGCACGGGCGGCGCCATGAGTCTACGGCACGGAGAACGCATCTACGTGACACCGTCAGGTGTCCCGAAAGAACGGCTGCAACCAGAGGATCTGTACGTACTGGACCTTGCTGGCAACATCCTCTCGTACCCGGACGCGAAAGCTGGCAAGAAACTCCCCAAGCTGTCAGACTGCGCGCCGCTGTTCCTGCACGTGCACAAGGTTCGCGCGGCTTCGGTTGTGCTGCATAGTCACGGCATCACGTGCAACTTGGCGGCTGCGCTGTGCGATGGCAAGAGTGAGTTCCGCATGTCGCATCAGGAGATGATCAAGGGCATTGCTGGCCACGGGTATGCAGACACCTTGGTTGTGCCTGTGATTGACAACGCCCCGAAGGAGTCTGCGCTTGCAGAGCCCATGGCGCAGACTTTGGAGGCGTACCCCAACACGCCTGCTGTGCTTGTTCGTCGTCACGGTCTCTTCGCGTGGGGTGACTCGTGGGAGGCTGCCAAGCGCCATGCCGAGTGCCTCCACTACCTGTTCGAGACGGCGATTGAGATGCGCAAGCTCAACTTGGACTTCACAGTTCCTCCTGTGTCGGCCGTTGCGAGCAACGATAGCTCTCTGGAGGGCGTGTGCGCTGGTGAGTCGAGCAGCAGCAAGCGGAGTATGGCAGAGCAGCACAAGGTGGTGATGCTGGACATTGAGGGCACCACGACACCCATCACTTTTGTCCACGATGTTTTGTTCCCGTACGTGACGGCCAATGTTGCTCGCTTCTTGGAACAAACGTGGGACTCAGCCGACACGAAAGCGGACGTCGCAGCGTTGATCGCTCAGCACAAGCAGGACGAGATCGATGGAGTGAACGCGCCTGCAGTGGACGGCCAGCAAGGCAAAGCAGAGCTCATTGACGCTCTCACTGCTTACGTCAAGTGGAACGTCGCGGCTGACCGCAAGATCGGACCGCTCAAGCTACTGCAGGGTCACATGTGGCTTCAAGGCTACGAGAACGGCGAGCTCAAAGCGCTAGTGTACGACGATGTTCCTCCGTGTCTTGAGCGTCTGCGCGCCCGTGGTGTGCGCGTGGGCATTTACTCGTCCGGCTCGCGCCAGGCCCAGAAGCTGCTGTTCCAGTATTCCGACAAGGGCGACTTGCGTGAGTATCTGACCGTCTACTTCGACACGAGCATTGGTCACAAGCGCGAAGTGAGAAGCTACGGGGAAATCGTCCAGAGTCTTGGCGTCGATACTGCCAAGGACGTGCTGTTTGTAACGGATGTGATTGAAGAGGCTGAAGCGGCACACGCTGCTGGACTCGACACCGTTTTGTCCGTGCGTCCGGGCAACAAACCGCTGCCAGAGTCCCACCACTTCCCCACAATACGCTCGTTCAGTGAGCTCTGAGTGCCAAAGGACTTCAACGCCGATCACCCGCTCGTCTCTGCGTTTAACGTCGTTCAGGCCGTGCGTTGAGCGAGTGGTACAAGTTGCTGCACGAAGGACTTTCGATCCGAGTCAAGTGACGGACTGCAGTGGGTCATCAGGTCGATCGATAGCTGTAGACGCTGTCTCCATACCAACAAGCGCACATGACCGTCTCGTTCCGAGCCAATGGTCGACATGGCTACAGCGTCGGTTCAAGATCCACGAACCGTTGCGTGCGACTGTCCGTCTGTAGCCATGTTGAGAACCACCGGTCGTTTTTGCACTTGGGTAGTCTGTCTGTAGCCATGTTCTCTAACTGTCGTCTCTTGCTCTTCTGCTCTCGAACCGGTCACTAACCCGTGACTGGTTCCGTCGCACTCGCTGCCGCTGGACATGACGGCGTCGGGCGACGAGCGCTCGGGCGCGTCCGACACGCCGCGCACGTGCCGCCCGTCTTCAGCACTGCACGAAGACGTGAGTAGCCCCACGCTCGCGCTTCTCGCCGCGCCCGACGCGCCTTTTTCGCCGCCCAGTGACGCGGCAAACGTAACGGCTTTGCGCCTCGAGCGCTGCGCGTCGGAGCTCCTCGAGTGGCTCGCGCGCGCGCCAGTGGCCACGTCGCTGCCGGACGAAGCGCTCTTCTTCTTCGAGACGCAGCACCCCGAGATCCTGACGGACCTCCCGCTGCTCTTTGCGTGGCTCTCGCTCTTCGTGGCGCAGCACGAGCGCTCAAGCGGCGACAGACGCGCAGTGGGGGCGAATCCTACAGTTGTAGAGCAATACGCGGCCTGCAAGAGCACCTTGACGCCCCTGTTCGACAAGCACGAGAGCGAGCGACTGCAGGGGACAGAGCTGCGCGCTGAGGACGCAGCGACGAGCGGTCGACGACCACAGCCGATGGGGGCGCAGGCCGAGACGGAGCTGCTGCAGTGGGTCCTCGCGCGCCGGCACGTGGCGCTCACGCGACAGGACATTCTGAACCACGTGATGGAGGCGTACCCGGTGTTTGCGGCCTCGAAGAGCGCCGCTGCGCTGAAAGTCTGGACGGCGCGATTTGTCAAGAAGCACATTGGACCGCACGTGGAGCCAGTGGCTGAATCAGCAGCTACGGAAGCTGTCGGGACGTTGTCGGACGGGAGGACAGAGACAGCTGCTGGCAATCGAAAAGCTGCTGCTGATGGCGATGTCGCTGCTGCTGCTGCTGCTGCCAAGGCAGCAATCGTTGATGCGATGGACGCGGACTATGTTGGCGCATCGGATGTGGGTGAGGCGGAGCTCTGTTTGCTTGTGCCACAAGCGCCTTTTGGGCCCGAGACACTGGAAACAAGGGAAGAGGCGGGCCTCGAGTCTGCAGCGACCACTGGACGACGACATACTGGTAAACGGCGGTCGTGTGCACGACGCTACATGCTGTTTTCGAACGAGTTTAAGCTGCATGCCGTGCACATGGTGGAACAAGGCAAGAGCGTGGCTGAAGTTTCGAAAGAACTGGGCCTCAAGAGCAGTAATTGCTTGAATTACTGGAGAAGTATTCGCGACAAACTTGTTACGGCCGAGCGAAAGCGATTTCGATTAGCTGGAGGTGGACGGCGCAGTAGCTGCACGTTTGAGGACGAACTGCTCACGTGGGTTAGTCAGCGTCATCAGCGAGGTCAAGGTCAGTGCTATGATTGAGCAACGACACGTTGCGCTGCTGTTGGTCGGATGTTATTGGAGTCGGTGTTGACGTTCGTTGTGGTTGTTGTTGTTGTTGTTGTCTGCGTTTGGTCGCAGGCACTGATGCTAAGGCTGTCCTGGAGTACATAAAGCAGTACCACTCGACTTTCACCGAAGGCAAAAAGGAGCCGACGCTGCGCAAGTGGATCTTGCGTTTTTTCAAGCGCTGTTGGCGAGCTCCGTGTCCATCGATGGACTCGCAGGATGCAGAGAAAGCGTACATATTTGTCTAACACGACTGCGTCTTGACTGTTAGTGTTGTCTTGTTTGCATGGAAGGGTGGACCATACAGGAACATGCCCGTTATCCAATGCAGTTGAGAACGGTGGTGAGCGCTAACGACATGCCGAAGCTCGTGCGTGCCCCATACGCAACAGGTCGCTAGAAGGATGATGGCTAATCCTGGCACGTGTGTTTGGACCTGTCTGGCTGACTAATTGATGGGCGTGGAAGAAATGCAAGGCAGGCGTTGCAAGGCAGGCGTTGCTTATGGGCCGACTGCAGTGGACGTGGCAGCCGATACCGGTCAGGTAAAGCAGTTTAGTTTGTGCGTGCTCAGTTCTGGTCTCACCGATGGCATTGGAGCACGGAAACGAGACGCTGACTGCCCTCTTCGTTGGTCAGACCTGTAGCAGTTCTGACTTGTGAGCAAGGCAGCACTTGCGGACGAAGTTTGCAGTCATTGTCCTCGTTGACGCAAGGCCGAAAAATGAACAGTTTGTTGGCCGACGATGACGACTGTAGCTGTTGACGCAACCGCCCGACATCACGTTCGCTTGTACGGCTGAAGACGTGGTGAAGTTGCACGTGCTGCACGTTACACGCACAAGGTTTTCGGCACAGTATTTCGGAAGTACCGAAGTCCAACGTCTGTTTCTTCGAGTCGGTACGTTGTTTGCAAAGGGTGATACCGGCTTTGCGATGCATTGCAGGGATCATGACTGGAGAGCTGCTCGCTCATCTTGTGCATCGAGATCGCCACCGCACCATTTCGACAATGCATGTGGCTGTTGTTGATATGACACCCACTTCATCGATGGAGTACCATACGCTGGGCTCACGAGGCGTTGTGTTGTTTGAGCTCCAGTCAATCGATCGTCAAGAAGAACGTAATCGGCTGCATCGCTGCAACGTTATGCTTTAGCTACATCGGTCGCGTAAGGAACACATGACCGCGAGCAGCAAAACCTAATGGCCGACACGTGCTGCGAAAATACATCGTCTATTCAGTTATCCAAACGCACTGGTCTCCTGTCTACTTGGCCGCCGCACTAGCAACAAAGTCTTTGGCGAGCTGCTTGACGTGCTCCACCTGTTTGTCGTCGCCCTGGTCCTGCTCAAACTGCAAAAACTTCTTGAACAGGAACTTCATCTTCTTGGCCGAAAACTCCATTGCCAAGAGACGCTCAAAGAGCGCACGCACGAGCGCCACGTCGCCAAACTTGATCTCCTTGTCCAAGTAGACATTCCACAAGTCCATTCGCTTCGGGTAGTTGGCCAGGATACCCTCGAAAATCGTCCGTGCCTTGTCCAGCTCGGCCTGTTCATACAGCAGCTGGCCGTACTTCAGAATCACGGGCAGGTGCTTGTGGCTCGCGAGGCTTTTCAAACTGCGCTGGAGGGTCTCAGCAGCATCGGCAAACTGCTTGGCACCAACCAAATACTGCAGCGAGCGGATCCACGTCTGTTTGCTCGCTCGGAACTTCTTCTGCATCGTTGCCAGCGTCTGGTTCACGTCCTCGTGCTCGTCGGCACGAGCGTACAAGTCGACCAAGTGGAGATACACGCGCTTCGGGTGGTTCACTTGCAGAGCACTCTTGAACACGCGCAGAAAGCTCGCATCGTCACCAAAGTCATGCTCCAAGTTCAGATACGCCACCCACACGTTGAGCTTCTCCTTTTCATCGCGGAACGAGACAGCTGAAGTCGCACGAACTGCAACGTCACGAGCGAGGTCGACCTCGGTAAGGGACACATGGAAAGCCATGTACTGGATCCACAGGTACGAGCTCTGCGGCGACACGGCCAACAGACGTTCGTAGTCACTTGCACTCTGAGGAACCTCGTCATTGCCAGCGAGCGCCTTCTCACGTAGAGCCACCCACTCATCACTCTGGACACACGTCTTCTTGCTGGACTTGGAAGACCTTGCAGCGTCCTCTTCGTCGTCCGTCTCCGTATCCGAAGACATTGCATCGTCGTCCTTGTCGTTTGTTTGCTTGCTCAGCACGCTCGAGAATCCGTCCCAGCTGAATTCGACTGGAGCAACGCTACTCTCGACCTCCTCTTCCGTCGAGGATCCGTCGTTGTCCAGTTCAAGCTCCGTGGCCACAGCCTTCGACTGCTTTTCTGTCGACTTCTTGACAACAGCCTCTTCTTCATCTTCTTCGTCCACCTCCATTGGCTCCGCTTCCTCCTCCTCTTCCTCATCTTCGTTGTCACCAGCTTCCTCCTCTTCACTGTCTCCAGCCTTCTCCTCTTGCTCTTCCTCCTCCTCCTCCTCATCGGATTCCTCTTCCGAGCTGCTCTCCTCACCTTGGAAGTACGACGGCTTCAGACCGAACGATACGCGACGATCCTCGACCTTGAGCACCTTGGCCTTGACATAATCGCCCTCCGAGAAAACCTGATCCAGCGGCTGCGTCACCTTCTCGTCCGCAACCTCCGAGATGTGGCACAAACCACTGATCGTGCTCTTCTCGATGCGCACGAAAACGCCATAAGCTTGCACCTTTGTGATCGTGCCCTTGACTGTCAGACCCTCCTTCAGATCGCTCCACTTGAACATTGACACGTCTTCCGAGACGACCGACGCCTTCAGACTGAGCTCTAGACCGCGATCCGACTTCTTCGTCACGCGACCAGCGACCAACCTGCCACCCGGAAACTGAGTCTGCGGGTCCTTCACGAAATCGTCGCTGAGGTCACGCAGCATCACACGGGCCGTCGTGTGGCGGTCCACACGCACAAAACATCCACTCGTGGTCGTCATCGTCACAATTGCTGGCACCAGTTCGCCAATCTTGCGCTCGAGCGGCTTGGACGCCTTCTTCGCGTACTCCATCGGGTTCGCCAGCGCATCTGTGCGCAGAGACAAGTCGATGTGATTGCCAGCGGTCGAAAGGACAACGCAGCGGACGACTTTGCCCGCAGCAAACTGGGGCAGCTTCAGCATGTCGTTCTTCCACTCAGTCAGAAGCTCGGTCACACACACGCGTCCAAACGTGTGCGCTCCAAGCTGCACCATGATCGATGGTGGACGAATCGCCGACTTTTTGGTCGAAATCACGCCGTTCACGATAGCCCCGGGCTTGAGCTCGGCCTTGACCAGGGCTGACGAAGAGTGGATCACGGACAGGTCGATCGCCTTTTTCTCATCGTCGACTTGAAGCACGAAACACTTGACGCGCTTGCCTACTGGGAAGTTGTCCTGCAATGCACGCATCACCTCCACTTCCTCTGACACTTCAGTGCAGCTAAGCGTGCCCGTGACATTGCTGCTCAGCTTGACACTCAAGTGGTCCGCGCACTGCTCGACAACAACTCCCTCGACAGAGTTGCCTTCCTTCAGCAGGGCTCGACCCGCGCTGCCCTCCAGCCAATCTGGACGAGCAAATCGCTGGACGTCAGTCACCTTCTCGTCGCCAGCCACGTCTTCTGTGCGCAGTGACAGCTGCAGGGCGTGAAACTTTGCCGGATTCTCCTCACTGACAGGCTTGAGTTTGTTGGGACCTTTGGTGGTCACGGCGATGACTCGACCTGTGACTGTGGCGTTGACTGCGTACCTGTCAAACGGATGCGAGTGGCCGGACTTCTCGTCGATGGCATCGACATCAACAATGGATACCAACGTACGGGTCTTACCCACTTTCTTGCCGAGCTCGAAGTGGATCTCCATCGAGCTCTCGGCAATGCTGGCAATGACACCGGTCAGCTTGTTGCCAAGCACAAAGTCACCCGGTGTATACTTCGGCAGCTTGGATGGCAACTTGCGCACAGACTTCTTCGGCTTCGAGACCAGCATGGCTTCCTCGAGCGCCAACAACGCGAGACCATCGAACGGCGATGCAACGGAGCCGATCTGCAGTGAAGACTGCAACACACGACATTCCAATGACGCGCCCACCTCAATACCAAGCTGGCTGCTTGTCTGCGAGGGACACCAAAAGTCGCACAACTGCAGCACGCCAATGTGTAGCACACCAGCGTTCTGTGGATCCGGGAAAGACACTACTGCATGTTTCTCCGTGGAACTAACCGTCAGGACAGTGGCGGCCGCGATCTTTTCTCCTGCCTTGATGTGCTGCTTTTGTTTACGCGAGCGCTTGGATCCGCTCTTCACCAGGGAATCGTCGGTAGCTCCGTAGTACACGTTCTTGCTGAAATTAAAGTCGGTCAGCAACAGCTTGACAGTGTCACCTGCGCTCCAGTTCTCGGCTTGCTCCGTCGACGCAGGCACCAACACCGTCGCAGTCTCCTCGTCCTTCTCTAACGCAAAGACAGCGCCATACGGGCGGACACCAACAAATTCGGCCTTCTCTGTCTTGCCAAGTGCACACAGCACTTTCTTAGCTTCGACAGTGTTACGGACTGCAACCTGCTCGCGAAGGTACGCCTGGAAGTAAGCTGGTCGTGCCTTGTTTGCACTGTTCGTAGTCTGCAGGAAGGCGTGCTGCTGGAAACCGACAACAAACCGCTTCTTCTCTTTGTCAACCTTTTCGACACAGCAGGTCACGGTCTCGCCAATTTCAAACATGCCTTCTTCGATCTGCGCAACGAACTGCTCCTTGAGGAATCCTTTCGGCGCCACAGCGACGAGGTTGTTCAGAAACTTGACAAATACACCCTTCGAGGCATTCACGGACGTCACATAACCGATCAAGACGGCCTTTTCCTTCACGTCGCCAAAGGTGCGCGGGAGAATGGCAGTGCGTGCAGCAAACTCGAGCAGTAGCGGCTTCTTTGACAGCGTCAAGACGCCGTCAGTGTCCTCCGACAGAACGAGTAGCGGATCTGTAATGACATCACCAGCGCTAAAGCGCTTCACAATTTCGTCCACCAGCGATGTGTTGCGCGGGAAGTCTGTCAACTGGACAAACGGAAGCACACCTTCGATTCCGTCTTTGGTCTGAACTCGGAAGCCCGTGGACTCGGTAGCTGTAATCTTGACGTCAACAATCCTCGTTCCCACGAGTTTCGAGGTGCTTTCTGGAGCAGCACTGGATTTGGTACCTGAGCTGCTTGACGTCGTGTCAAACGAAAGCATCAGTCGCTTCTCGCTAGCATCGCAACGTACCACGCGGGCCTTAACGACTTGACCAAGAGTGTAAGCTTCCTCCAGATTCTCAATACCAGCCTGCTGGAGTACAGCCATGGGCACCAAACCGTACACGTTATTGTAGAAGCTGACGATAACACCATACTCGGCAATCTTCGCGATGAAACCGTGGCCGAGAAAGCCGATCGTTGCTTCCTCGAACGAGCTCAATACAGGAAGCTCTGATGCCAGCAGTCCCGACTTCATGGTCAGAAACGTCTTCTTGGCTTCAAAGTTCACGTGCAGCACGCGAGCAGTCGCGACTTTGCCAACCTTATACTTGCCATTGTTGTTGGCCTTCTTGTTCAGCAAAAACGCCGGCATATGCTGCGGTGTTACCAAACCGCGCACGCCTTCACTGATTTCCATCAGCATGCCCCACGGCTCAACAGACAGAATCTTGCCGCTGACCTTGGTGCCTGGCTCCAGATCCTTGTGACGCAGGACAGTCTGTGAGATCAAGGCTTCCTTGCAGCTCACGCTCACAACAGCGTCAAATGGCGCAAAGCCCAGTACACGGCACTTTATGCTCGAGCCCACGGTAAATTTCTTCTCGAGCTTGTCCACACGCTTGTCCGAGACGTTCGATATGTGCACATATCCAGGCGCAAACGCTTTCCACTTGGCGTTTGTCATCGACCCCTTCTTCTCGCTAGCGTCTTCCATCTCGACATCTTCAGTCTTGCTCGTCAGCGATAGCAGCATGCCAATGCCAGCATCGATCCGCTCGATCGTGGCATCTTCAATAATGTCGCCCACCGAAAAGGGCGACGGTGGCACCTGCAAGTGCACCACGTGTGGAGCCATAGACAACGTGATTTTCTTGGCGACGTAGTCAATAGTCATGATCCGTGCACGCGCCTTCATGCCTTTGCGGTACGACTCTTCCCAGCCAGACTCGCACGGCAGACTCATATGGTTCTGCTCGACAGTTGCTGTGAAAAAGGTGAGGAACGTGACGCTCAGGCCATTTGCCAAGACATCCTCAACGCGGACATTAAGCAGCATTCCTGGCACGAGCTGCTTCAGAGTAAAAGAGTCGCCACGTGTGACGGCCTTGACCACTTGGTTGCGGTCGATCGTCACAGTGGCTGTGTTCGTGTGCGTGTTCATGGAGATCACGCTAACGAGCACGTGCTGGCCCTTGACCAAGGGCGTCGCAAGCTCTTTGCTCGGCACAAACGCATGCACGCCGCGGATGCCCACGTTGACGATAGCGCCATGGTCTTCGACAGATGACACTGTAGCGTGCAACGAGGCGCCCTTGACGAGGCTGCTGGGGCTGAGCTCAGCGTGGATGAGCGACGTGCGCAGCGACAGCTGGATCTGCTTGTGCTTGTTCGCCTTTGACGTGCCCAGCACGACACATGGCACAAACTGACCAGCTTGAAAGACGGCACTGAGCGGCGGTAGCTGCTCATCGTCCTGCTCCTGCTCCGTTGGCGTCTTAGACCGTGTCTTGAGCGTCTGCATGTGCTCATGAAACTCGTCCGAGCACTCTGCGAGAGCCACTGTGCCGTTGAGTTTATTCGGTAAGCTAATGAGCAGGTCCTGGCCGTCTGCGGCCTGGCGCACGCAGCCCAGCAGCAGCATTCCCTTGCGCAGCGTCTTGAAGCTCAGCACATCAGCAGTCGCAGCCGCCGGGAGCGCGTCTTTGCTGCTGGTTCGCTTTGCGTCGACCGGCGTCTTCTTCTTCTTCTTCTTCACCGGCTGCTCCTCGGCCGAAGCAGTGGCCAATCCGCGCTTGCCAAACAGCGCATCGCCTGGAGAAGCGATCGACGTGGGCGACTTTGTCGTGTCCAGCGACGCTTTGGACTTCCTGCCACCACGTGGGAAACTCGTCGCGGCGGCTGCTGTTGCGGCTGCAGTCTCTGCCATAGCGTCGAGGAGGTGCGATGGCGGCCGGTGGAATGCCGATGGCCAATGGTTTTTTCTCGCGTGGCTTTTGCAAAGTATACAGCAGCTACTTACTGGCGCGTAGCGGCGGGCCCGAGACCCACTTGAACCAAAATGGGTCTCTTTTGTTTTGGTCCGTTTTTTAGGTCGGCTTTGGGTCCGTAAAAGCAGTGTCACTAGTCGCGTGAATCTCCGATGCAGTGGGTGTGTCTGTCATTAGTGCCCATAGACTTTTGACCGGCACGCGACCGGTCGAATGTCGTTCCGAGTGAGTTCCCCTCCGTCAACTTCAAGGGACTGCCGGACTGTAGCCAACTGACTATCTTCGCCATGAGACGACTGCCCTCCTCCTGCCCCTTCTTCATATGAGGTGGCAAAAGGTACGCGCACGGGAAATGTTGTGACAAAGGTTGCGTCACCTCATCGTCGATGGGTCTCATGCCATCACGGGGTCAATGTGACAGACCACGCCACGATATCGATCCAAAAACGACCGACCGCCTTGCGCGATTGTGTCGTCTTTCGATCGATGCCGTTGCTGCCCGCGGTCTCTTTGGTGGCTACGAAAGTGCCACGCTATGCTGTGTGTTACTCACTTGGCTGACGAGGCTGTAGCGACCACATGGACAACCGGTCCCATTATCACTCGGGTCAAGAAGAGAGAGGGAAAGATAGAGAGAGAGAGAGAGACTGAGGTCCATGAAGCTCAACCGTTGCTTCGTGCTCCTTCAACCACTGTCGGCACTAATGGGAGTTCATGCAAGCGAACTTTAACATGCCCACACGCACCACTTCCGGGTCGTACAAGACAACCCAAGCCGTACATGGTCAAGTTGGTACAATTGTGCGTGTTTCATTGGGTTCAACTCTCCTCCTGTCTTTGATAAATACCTACGTGTGTGTGTGTGTGTCCCCGACCTTTGCCGCCTTCCTCCTCCTCCTGCTCGTGTACTTCGACGAGGACGTCGCTCGAAGTCGCGCTCGGACGCTGCTCTGTCTGCAATCTCCAGTCTACCGCCTGCGCGCGCGTCACTTGCAGTCGAGCTCGGAGAACGTCTCCCCTGCCGACGGGTCGAGCATCCACGCACTGAGTTCGCACGGAAACTGCTCGTCGTCGGCCTCGGCCGCGACTTTCACGAGCGTGACGCTCACGACCGCCCGCACGACTTGTTTGCCAATGTCGAGGGCCAGCAGCTCGGCGCGGGGCATCTTGGTCTGCTCGTCAGAGAGCACCATAGCCGACTTGAGCTTCTGCACGGCGTATTTGCCCGTGAACGCTTTGGGGAACTGGAACCGACACACGGGACACGTGCTCTGGGTCTGCAGCCACGACGAGATGCACGGGTAGTGGAACGAGTGGCCACACGGCAGCCGCACGTGCCCGTCGCACGGGCTCTCGCTCATGCAGATGACGCACTCGTCGCCCTCGTGCATCTCGGCCGTCTCTTGGCTCTCGAGTTCGTCCAAGATGGACTGGTCCGCAGGCGACGAGCTCTTGAGACGCGGGGACACGTACCGCATCATGAAGCGCACCCACGTGGTGGACCGGAACATCTCGAGCACGTCCCGCGTGACGGCACTCGCCGGGGCGTGGTACTGCACTTCGACGTGCACGGTGATATCCATAGGAAGAAGAGCGTCGGACGGCGACCCGCTCGTGGTGGCTGAAGACAAGCAGTGGCTCCTGCTCGCAGCAACACGTCTCCTCTGCTCGGGCAAAGCAAAAGTGAGCACTCGGCCGGCCGCGCGCCGCCATGCGGGGCAGACGAGCGCGCGCACGTCTCCGCACCTTTTTCCTGCTGGCCGGGCTATGGCCGCCCCTGAGCAGTTTCGACGAGGCACTACAAGCAGGCGGGGCGCCGTTCCTGTGCGTTGCCACCGCATGGTGTGCACTTGGCCGCGCTTTGTCGATCGATCGACGGTATCCATCGACGATCGCGGGCGATCTTGTGCTGCTGCCGTCGCGCCTGAGCCGCCCAGACGACTTGCGAGACGGCGGCCTGGAAACGAGACACCCGCTTCAAGTGGCGGTAACGTCGAGTGAACTGGCTGGCGACTTTCCACAGGCACTGCTCGGGGCGCGCGAATGGATACACCTTTGGATCAGCACGGACGTGGGATCCCTCGACAGGGGCCTGCGAAACGCAGTTGGTAGGCGCCAACCGCGACCGAGTGAGCGACTGCTTGATGCAGACAGAGGTTCGACCTGATCGAATCTCGTGGGCCGTCGGGATCGCACCTGCGCGCACGCGCGTAGTGCAATGCCGTGCCGACATCCGAGCGGGGCGCTGGGAAGTAGTAGTAGTAGTAGTAGTAGTAGCATGGTACGGGACGCCTGGCCTGTGAGTAAGGATTATTGTGGGACGAGGCGACGTCTCAGCAATCAACCAGTCAGTCACTCAATCACTCAGTCGATCAGTCACTCAGTCAATCAGTCACTCAGTCAATCAGTCACTCAGTCAGTCAGTTGGTCAGTTGGTCAGGCAGTGAGTCACGTGGATCAGTCAGTGGATTGGTCGGTCGTGTGCAACGACGTTGGAGAGGGTACAACATACCACTCGTGCCGATCGCGAGTCTTTTGGTCAGGTGGCGGCACCCACCGATCGTGAAAGCACAGGACTGCTGGAGCCGCCTGACTGTGGGGTATAGTCCATCCGTCCACTGGAGCAGACGGTCGTGTGTAACGCACGGCACTGCCGAGCGTTACACACGAAAGTGTCGCAACAGCTGGTCGTGTCAATGATCCCCTGCCGCCTGTCGTGTATATTACTCTGTCGAGGGCTTCGCATTGTGTGGCTGCGTTCGCAAGTGAGCACATGGCACGTGAGAAACCCGTCGTGCGGCTGCTGTGCGGATGGTACCGAAGAGCTCGTTTGGGTCGGCAGTTCCTGATGACGACGTGGAGAGCCCAGTGCACGGTCGTGTCTTTTTTCTAGATCTTGCGACCATCTTTGCTGCTGGATCGATGCTGGCTGCACGGCCATTGATCAGGAGCAAGAAGCGCAGCATCGACGGCGTTCCGACATGCCAAAGTGGCCGGATAGTGCACTGCTTGTTGTTCGTTTTCTCGCGACAGGCTGTGGTGATTTTGATGTGGCAGTTGTGCTACGAAGTGAAACTGCTGGTGCGAAGACTGAGGTGGGTGAACGTGTTTGTGCAATCACAAGATCGAACTCAGGTTATATCTGAGGGGTTAGCAGCGGGTACAGCTCGAGCAAGGACATGGATCTTCGCATCGTAGACGAGTATCCACGATGCGGTCGTGCTGGCTGCAGAGAACTGTACGCAATGAAGGGCGGCATAGCCATCGACGGTCGACTGCCTGCGGGCCACGTTCGAGAAAAATCGGCTTCAGTTGCGCATGTATATCCCACAGCGTTCTGGAAATCGCTACGTCGGTAGCTCGGACCTGAGAAGGCATCTCTCCATTGGATGCAAATGATGGCTTGCACCTGCGAGTCCCTCAAGGACCATTAGCAATGGCAACAACAGTTGGAGCACAAAGACAAGAGCTCGGCCGTTGTTTGTCGAATCGAGTGAACCACCACGAGCACGTACTGCGACTGCGTTCGCAAAAGCGATAATGTTCTCTCGATCTATAGCAGAGCCGTGCTAAAGCGAAGACTAAGCGAAGTAGGACCTGTTCGTAGGAATAGGCGACGACAGCGTTGCGTATACTGAGAATCATCAGTCGGCGCCTTCTCGCTCGAGTGGGATCCACGTCCACTTGTGATATATCATGCGGGTCTCCTTACCACCTGTAGTCGCCAAGGCAAACGAGGGGTCATCGATTCTCGACGGTACACCGGTCCAAATGTTTCGCACGTGGCTGTAACTCGAATGCAGACGAAACCCGCTGACCCGCGACGGCGTCAGCTAAAATAAATTACTTCCCATGAGGTCGAGGGACCGCGAATGGTGCTGCTGAGACGGTGAAGATCAGATCGAGTGTGTCGATTAGAAAATGGTCCTACAAAAACGTGTCGGAGCTAATCATTGCAGTGGCCTATGCTCCGACTCTGGACGTCGACGAGAATCCAAGGGACAGGGCGCAGCATATATCGGCCACTGAGTCTGCTCGTCTGGTTAAAAGCAGCAGCTCGTGGAGCTTTGGGACAAGTTGGGATCCTCTTTAGCGGCTTCGCGCTCTATGACTGTCACGAACTCTATCGGGTACGGAGGGATCGAGATGCTGCAGTACACTGTGAAGGCCAGTAGTCTCACTTCAGCAGCGATCCGTCGGTCAATGCTCTGGAAGAATGGATGTCGGAGTTCCCATGGCACGCACTCGCTCTCGGTCCTCCCAGGCGATAGATAGCAACAGAAGAAGAAGTTTGCTGGTTTACGTGCTCTTGAGCTGACAGCCGTGGATTGTAGATCGCCGACGGAACACGTTGACATGACGGAAGTCGATTGCGCTCGGCACTAGGCAGAACTGCAATTGCATCGGTGGGGACCTTCGTCATTTCGACTGTCGCGGCGGCCACAGGTTTTACCAGGCCCAGCTCAGTCGCGGAGGATTCAATCATGTTCAGCGCACTGGGATCGGACGTTGACGGCAGACTCCAAGTCCGACGGCGTCTGCTACAGCGCTACAAAACGCAACTGCGGCACGAGAACATCTACTTATGACAAGGCGAAGCACTCACCTACGTATGGGAGCGACTATGACGCGTGCTGGCCAGTGTTTGCATCGCTGGCTTGTGACTACAGCGAATCGAGCAGCGTGCGGACGTCTCCATCGACGGCAGTATCAAAGAGATCTCGGCAACGCAGCATGTGGCAACGCCAGGCTGTAGCAAATTGGGAGCACCAGCGGGCAGAAGAAGAAGCTCGTCTGCTGTTGTGCGAAAGCAAAATAGCCAGACGACCTCGAGAGCCGTCGCCTGAGACGAAAAGCTCCGTACAAAGCTTCCTGAGTCGCAAGACGAACCGGCGTTGCCAACCAGCCACAGAAAATATGCCAACGAAGCTGCGACGAACGACTTCGGTCGAACTGACTCGTCTGCAGAAGCAGACGGGTCGAGTCGTTGCAGGTGCTGTGCATATCGCTCCTCTACCGTCTCGTCTCGACATACTGCCAGTATCTTCTGCTCTAGCATTTCCAGTCCACCATCGCTCAGGGCCAGCGCGACTGTCTACGCAGAGCTCGTGACGATTCGAGCAGTTTCCTGTGTCTGGTCACGACTACTTCTGGCAATGGCCTTACCAAGTGGCAACGTCTGCTTTTGCTGTGCTGGTACTCGCCAGCGCAGTCTACAGACACTTGCAACAACACGATCAACGAACGACAACCCCTCAGTACTCTTCGGACCACTGCGCGAGCAGCTCCGTGTTCGCTTACGAAGAAGAACAACAGCTTTGGTGGATAAGACTATATCACCGATGGCGTAGCTCTACTAGCACCGCAACGAGCAGCAGCCACTGGACTGATCCCATCGCCACTTTGCTGCTGTGGTTGCTGGGAACGTGATGTCCGACTTCGTAGCTTCTTGCAGCGTGGACAGCAGTGACAGAAGGCGTGACTGGGAAAGGGCTCGATCCGGTGAGGGTCTCGTTGGTCTGTGCCTCTTGCGAAGGTGTGCATCCAACGGAGTCACAAAACGCACGAGCGGCTGCCGAGGTGATGGCTGAACGACCAGTATCATTGAGTGTTGGTGTGTTCATGATCGGCGTCTTGCCAGCGGGCTCACTCTCGCCTGCCTGTGGCCACCCGGTTCCAATGTTGATGATCGTGATCGTGTTGCCAATGTTGATGCCACCCAAGTTCGTCACGACGCTGGACTGGATCCTTTCATTGCTGCTGCTTTGATTGCCGCGCGTGTGATTGCCCATGCGATCGCTTTCATTCTGAGCGGCAATGCCTTTGCCATCGCTGTTGTTGTCGTCCAGAGATACATCATCATCATTCATCATCATCGTCACTGTCGTCGTCGTCCCTCGCAAGCTTTCGACCATCGCTGTCGTCTTCAGAGTCGTCGTGATCGTCGTCATCGTCATCATCGTCTTCATCGCTCTCATGCTTGTGGGTATCGCTGTTGTCCTCCGAGTCATCGTCTTCATCGCTGTCATCGTTGTGGTCATGCTTTGAGTCGCGGTGGTAAGCAGACTGCACACGTGGATGTGAACGGTCCTCCCTGTGTTCAAGCAGAGGCCGCACATGATCGCCGTCGTGAGGTTGAGTCTCTCGCTGGTCTCTAAGCTCGGTCATGCGCACATCCTGAAGACTCTGCTTTTCCTCCCGTATCTCGTTCACGAACATCCTGCCAGCTTCGAAAGAGCATGCACCTTGTCGGGTAGCAGCTATTACAACCAAGACCAAAGCGAATGTCGTTTTCGTTCCTGCTACCAACATGAGTCGAAGCACACAACGACGGGATGGCGAAGTGAGACACCCGATGGTTGTGTACAGCAACTGACAGACTTCGTCACGCCACCAATCCATCGTGCATCAATCACTCCATTGACCTCGTCTTGTCTGCCAGCATCGATCAAAACTCGTATATTAGCGACACATGTTAGTTCTCTACTGCGCCGAGTCGTCAGACGTCTCGGATGAACTCGAAGAGTTCTCACGCGGACGTTTGTTGGTAGGGCTCGTGGGTGCCTCGGACACTGGTGGCGTCCCGTACTTACCGATGGCATATGACTTCTTCATGCCCGCCATGCACCGCCGCACTGCGATTTTGTGATCGACAATGGGGAACGGATAGTCTTTCCCAATGAGGCAGCCTGCAGCGTATTGGACGGTCATTGGCGCTTTCCAAGGCTCGTAGATGTACTTGACCGGCATCTTGCTCAGTGCCGGTACGTACTTGCGAATGAACAAACCTTCAGGGTCCCAGTTCTTGCCAAACGTTGACGGGGAGTAGACGCGGAAGTAAGCTTTGAAGAAATAGCTGCTGCTGAGCCAGAGCCAGTTGCCGGCATTGATACTCCAGTCATGGTCGATCAGCAATTCCTGGAAAACCTCAAGCCCACGCACCCACGAAATGTACAGATCGCCGCGAGTCAGGAAGCACGCGACCGAGTGACGTGCTAAATGATGCATCCACCCTTCCTTGTTGAGTTGGATCATGATGGCATCGATCCACGGGAAACCAGTCTGGCCATCTCTCCACGCCTTGAACTGTGAGCGCGCAAGCTTGTCGTCATCCGTCATATCCTCTTGTTTCCCTGGAATCGTATGCCACCGCCAGTCAATTTGCAGACAAGTGGGGCTTTCCTCCATCTTGTCGAAATACGGATTCGCATAGCCGTGGCAATGGAAGAACTCTCGCCACAAAAGCTGTCCATCCAGGCTCACTGGTGTGGCGGAAAGTGCCTTGGCATGTTGCTCTTGAATGCCTCGAACGTGGTGCAAGAATGTCCGCGGACTGATGCAACCGAAGTACAAAAATGGACTCAGCGACGTTGTCGAAGCGGAAGGTGTCGTCTGTGCGGGGGACGTCTTGGGCTTCTCGAACTTCACTACGCGGCCTTCATTGCGACAGTAATCCCGCAGAATGCTCAGCGCAATCTGCTCACCACCATAGATGAAGGGGTGTCGCTCAGGCACTTCGTAGCCAAAGTCGGTCACTTCAGGGAGTGCGAACTGCTGCTCCGAGCCCGCAATCTCTTTCAACTCTTTGTCAATTTCTTCAGGGTCGTCTTCCTCGTCCTCAACTTCTTTTTCCTTTTCACTCGACTGCACCACGACTGCTGTATCAGTCTTGCCACGATTCTTCCAGTGGTCGCACACTTGCTGGTACAACTCACTTGGTAAGAACGCAAGAGCAGGCACTTTTACTGGCGTGGGCAGAGGTTTGGGCGGCGTCGGATGCATGGTCAATGCTCGGAGGAAGGCCGTGTACGTCTTGGGTGGTTTTCCTCCATTTCCTGCAATCACTGCGTCCAAGTCGTACAGTGAGTACCCGTTCGTCAAATATGTCTCGATACCTAGTCGTGTCGCCAAATCCACGACGCGCTTGTCCCGCTTGATCGCAAACGGTTCCGTCGCTGCGTCGAAGAAGAGGTGCGTGATGCGCCACGCCGGCAAGAGCCGCCGCAGCACTTTCACGCCGTCTCCTTGTGCCACCACGAGCCTCGATCCTCGAGCTGCTAAGGCGTCTGCCAAGTCCGACACGCTCTCCAGCATGAACTGGAAGCGATTTACGCCGCACAACATGATCTTCGGCCGGTGCACAATGTAGAGCGGAATGAGCACGACATTGCGCCTCGACCGCTTCGTCGTCTTGTTGCCCTCTGTTTCGCCATCTTTTTCCTCTTCTTCTTTTCCTTTTCCTTCCCGTTCTTCTTCCTCTTCGTGCTGTTGTCGGACCAATTCCAGCGCTTTCGTAAGCGCGAGATTGTCGTGAAGCCGAAGATCGCGTCGGAACCACATGAGGACTCGAATGTCGTCCCTCGCACCTGTTCCAAGAGCGTCCTCAGCACTCTGGACCTCTTCCACTTGGTTTTCTGTCCTCAGCACTGCATCAAGCGGCAACTCGAGCGACGAATCGCTCGGTCCAATCGATTCGAACGCGAGTTCTGACGGCGCATGAATCGCTGCGTCGACTGCGTCGAGGGCCGCAAAGTCCAGCGCGGCAACCGGCAGCTCCGAGTCGACGTCAGTAGCTTCGAGCAGAGAAGACGCAAATTCCACAAGATCGGCGTCGGCCGCAGCGTCCGGAGCGGCGGCTGGAAGCGCGTGCGGCGGCGCGGAACCGTCGGCCATTGATCGGGTCGAGGACGAGGAGCGCAAATGAAAAAACGACGAGCTCTGATTGGTAGAAAGCGCACTTCAAGTTGCGGTCCACTTGTTTTTTCTTATTCGATCCCAAAGAGGCAGCGAAGAGCTCACTTGCGGTTGTGCATCAGGTAATAATTGCACTGGTCGATGAATAAGTAGACTAAGGACAGATAGATAGATAGATAGATAGATAGATAGATAGATAGATAGATAGATAGATAGATAGATAGATAGATAGATTGATAGATAGATAGAGAGATAGGGAGATAGAGAGATAGATAGATAGATAGATAGATAGATAGATAGATAGATAGATAGATAGATAGATAGATCAACAGGTATATGCATAGAGACGGACGGACAGATCGATTGTCGAGGTAATAATATACTTAAATGGCACTGTTCCGCAGTCTGACGTCCGTCCCATTAGCTCTCGCCAAAGTTACGGCCGACTACAGGTGACTGAAGCGCTTGTGGGTTGCCCACGTGTGGCGAAAAGAGCTCAGCTTCCTCCAGATGGGGCTCCACGCACACAACGCTGTGCTTCGTCTTGTTCTTGAGGTGTGCAAAGACACCCAAACCAATCAACGCGAGCGGCACACCGAGGTCCGTGACGAGCCACATGGTGTGAGCTCCATAGTGCTGGTAAAAGTAGCCGCCAATGAGTGTGCCCATGCCGCGCGCGAGTCCGTTCTGTACCGAGTTCAGCACGCCCATGATCGTGCCCTCGCAGCCAGGAGGAGCTGCCGAGTACACGTACTGCGTGCACGCTGCCCATGCCAATCCGTAGGTCACGCCGTGCAAGAACTCAAAGGGAATGGCGCCCCACGCATTGGTCATCACAGCGTAGTAGGACACGCGAAGCGCATAGCCAATGATGGACATCAGCAGGACGTTGACAATGCCAAAGCGGTTGATGATCTTGTGCGAGAAGAAGAACGCAGGCAGCTCCGACGCGGTCTCGCACATGATGGCAATGCCCACAATCTCGGCATTCTCGCCCGAGATGTTGTACAAGTTGAGCGTGAGGAAGCTCGATAGCACGCCGTACATGAGGCCCATGAGGAACACCACGCCAAAGAGCACGAGCACGTCGGCCATCTTGCAGATCATCCGCACGTTCTCGAGGAACGACGGCGGCCGCACGTCTCCGCATTCCAGCACGGCTTCGGTCAAGAGCGGACTGTGCTGCATGGGCGGGATCGTGCGCAGCACAAACAGCGACGTCAGGCCGAGCAACGAGCTGACGTTGAACGACCACGAGATGCCGGCGACGGTCACGATGAGTCCCGTGACGTACGCGCCGACGCCGTACCCGAGCGCACCAAAGAGCCGCTGCTTGCCGTACTCGCCGCCCACTTTGTCGAGCAGGTTGAGCACCGTGTGGTCCAGCAACGAGCCCGTCGGCGACACTTGGAAGTTCGACATGATGATCACGACGATCATCCACTCGAACGACCAGTAGAAGAACCGGACGGCAAACATGAGGAACGCGCCCGTGATGATGCAGAAGATGTGCACGAGGCGCTGGTTCTGGATGCGGTCGGCAACAACGCCCCAGAACGGCGGCGCCAGCATAGTGCACACGCACGGCAGCGTCTGCAAGAGACCGATCTGCACTTTGCTGAACTGCGCCGTTTGCTGGTAAAAGATGCTCAGGAAGTTCGTCTGCGCCGACGTCCAGGCGTTGCTCGTGAGGTACATGAGCTTGGGCTGCCACAGCGAGTGCGCGGCCGTCGGCGGCAGCGCGTGAGTCACCAGCGGCGTCTTGCAGTTCATCGTCTTTGCTTGGCACATGGCGACCGGCAGCCGAAAGAATGGATGGACGACGACGACGAGTGGGCGAGACGGGCGTTCCAAGCAGAGCACTGACACGTACCGGGAAAATTGGCGACTGAGTGGACGACGTGCAGACCGAGTGGCGCTTTTGAGTGGCGTGTCGAGTCGCACCTGACGGACGGAACTGGTTGGCCATTGGCGACGTTTCAGGGCGGACAGGCGGACGTTTTCATAGTGGCTCACCCCTTTCGCCAGCTGGTGGGCCTACCTGCACTTGCATACGCAAGAGGACGGACATCATCGTCTGGTTGCAGCGCCTGCCCATCCTTGGGCCACGGCGGACCGGAGCGGCCGGGCTCGTCGACCAATCGCCTGCAGCGCTCGTCGATCCTGGTCACTCATTGGCTGCTTTCCTCGTCCGCGTGCCCATCGGGTCGGAACCTCTCGCAGCCATCGAATCCATCGACTTACACGTGAGAGTCGTTTGGACCCCATGAGGTCCGCGGCGTTGACCGGTCTCCAGCAGCTCGTGGCCACTGACGCCAGTCGCGTCGCTCTCTTGGACGGAGGCTTTGCCACGGAGGTGGAGAAAGACCCGCGCGTGGACCTGAGCGCCAGCGCACTGTGGTCCGCGTCGCTGCTATTGGATCGGAATGAACATCTCGAGTCGGTGGTCGTGGACGCCCACAAGACGTACTTCTTGGCAGGAGCGGATGTAGCCACTACGGCGAGTTACCAATTGTCGGTCGACGGGCTCAAGCGCGAGGGCGTGACGAACACGGAGGACGTCGAGCGACTGTTTGCCAAGAGCACTGACCTTGCGGTGCAGGCGCGTGACGCAGCGTGGAACGAGCTGGACCAGAAGCGACGTATCAAGCCTCTGGTGGGCGCCAGCATTGGCTGCTATGGCGCTGCACTGGCCGACGGATCGGTGAGAGGTTTGACCGGATGTGCACCGTGCGAAAACGGACGAAGCCGCGACTAATGATGAGCTGATCGGTGGTGGTTGTTGACAGGAGTACCGCGGTGACTACAACAAGAGCAAAGAAGAGCTCGTGGCGTGGCACAAACACCGGTTTGGTTTCTTTGCGAATTACGCACGAGCGGATCTCCTGATCTGTGAGACGATCCCGTGTCTCGTGGAGGTGGAAGCGTTCATCGACTTGTTGAACGCGTTCCCAATGGCGCACGCGATCATTGCCGTAGCCTGTCACAATGGAACGGAGTTGAACAGTGGCGAACCAATTGCTCGCGTCCCTGGTATTCTGGCGAAACTAAACGATCCGTCGCAGCTGCTTGCAATTGGCATCAACTGCACACCACCGCAGCACGTGGAAAGTCTGTTGCGCGAGCTGAGGTGTCCGTGGCCCAAGGCCGTGTACCCCAATAGCGGAGAGGCCTGGGACGGAGTGAACAAGGAGTGGCTTCCGGCTGATAGCACTGGTGGTGCCAGCTCCTGGCAAGAATTCGCACCGAGGTGGTACGATGCGGGCGCGCGGTTCTTTGGCGGCTGTTGCCGTACGTCCCCTGATGACATTCGCGCTCTCCGCTCGTACTTTGAGCAGCGCCAGTTGCTGTAAAGTCCGGACTGCCGCTTGCCATTCGCCACTAGTTTTTGATCGAGTGCTCTGAGTCGGTACGTTCGACTCTGGCTGCTAGTGCGACCGTTGTCTTTGCACTGAAGAAGGTCTGGGCGCTGGTGCTTGCAACTGAGAAGGCAGCGAAGCAGGTTGTGAACGCTTGCGCGTTATGGTTCGGACGTTTTAGGACCGGACGGCAGGCAATGCGCATCTTTGCGATCGCAAGGCGTGTATGTCGAAGAGGAACCGTTCCACGTGCTGTCGAAGCTGCTTGAGGTGTTGTGTGTTGCACTTGCTGCATGTCGAGTTGAGTAGCTGTCTATATCTTTGTCGAAAGTGTTTGCTCTCGCACGAACGGGTAGGTCTTGCGTTGATGTCAGTATCGTTTTGCTCGAGTTGTTCACTGTGATCGCTTACCGGATGTAGACGGGTTCCTGTGCCCCTTCGCACCATATGACATATGTAATGTGGTGACAACTATGGATCTCTGCGGCAATGTGGTCTGCGGGTCTTTGGCGCGCAGCACACGTAGCATTGTGTCGATCTTTTACTGTACACTACGCCGATATTTTGGACAATGTTCGATCGGAGATACCGATGTTGCTCGCGCTTGGAACAACGTGGTCGTCGTCAATGCGTCCGGACGTGTTGCCAGCACAACGCGTAGTTAGGCCAAACAGGTGCTAGCGGTACCACATGAGACAAACGCGGTATCATTCCAAACAGCAAAACGACTTGTGCCTGTTCGTCGTCCACGTTGTTAGTTGATGAGCAAGCACAACGCAAATATCGGGTATCACTGTACCAAACAGAAGCGCGGGCAACGTACCATTCTAGCACACTAGTGGCAAGCAATGACGTATTTGGGTGAACAAGGCAAGTGACACTGACGGCCGATTCTGCAGATCTGTCCACAACAGACTGTCTCAAGAGCACAAACATTTCGCAGCGTTCAGGTCACCTCTGAGTTCGTGACGTCTGTGCCGTCGTTTTGTCATGTGCTGCCAAGTGCAAGGAATGTGTGTGCTATTGCTGATTGCTGCCACAAACAAAGGCAAATCTTAGCCGTACCCGATGGCAGACGGAGACAACCAACCTCCGCCAACCAAAAAAAGATCGGATGGCCATAGTCGTCTTGGCCTGCAAGGGCAGCGAATGATGGCAGGCCATTTGCACACATCTCTCTATCAAGCACTACAGGGAGTGCGTTCCGTTTACTTTATTTCCGTGATAAATAATCTGACGGCGGGGCTGTGTGTGAGGACAGGGGACACCAATGCAATGCGTGACTCAGTCGCTGCATCGCCCTCTTTGGCAGAACTGCCGGATCGAAAGCTGACACGAGGAAGAGAAGCATTGACATGACGGTCAACGTCCTCCTCGCTTTCCAGCACCTCGCTCGACGAAACAGCTGCAGCTCGGCCAAACACACACATGTGCTCCTAGCCGCTGTCTTCGTCACCACCACAACTTGGCATGGTTCACCACCTTCGGACAGCCAGTGCTTGCTTGATTCCCGTACCACGTGACGACAGTTGTGACGACAGTTGTGCCACCACTTCAAGTTACAAGGGAACTGCATAGGATGGATCCCTTGCCAAGCAGCAGTGACTCGACCGCCTGTAGCCAAAGCGAGTAACGTTGTCTTTCCAGCAACAGCTTGAGCGCGCGCGACAATGCTGAAGATTGAACAAGGTCACTCGTTGCATCGCAATCACACGCCCCATGCTGCCACTTCTCGTACGTCTCAGGCGATCCATCCAGTGTCATCCATGTCCGAGTGAGAGAGGTGCAAACAGGCTGTCGAAGCGAGCAGATGCACAGCCCGCATGTCTCGAGACTCGCACATGGCATTGCTTGGTACCTCATTCGGCAGGCGAAGCATTAGCAACGAGCAATTCGTTGTGCCGCTGCACCGCTAGTCGCATCGTGTCCATATCGTCAAAGGTGAAGCTGCTCACGACTACGAACTCGACGTAGCGCCTCTGTAGCTGTAGCACATATCGTCCGAGTCCCAGGGCAACTGGTCACCCGTTTCCATGTCACTCGTCGATGCAGACGTGCTCGATCCTGAGGTAGTCATAGACTCTGTCTCGCAGTCGGAGTAAGCTTGGCTCATGTTAGCTAAGCATCGCGTCATCGCGTGCTTGAAATCAATAATGGGGAACGGGTAGTCCTTACCGATCAGACAGCCTGCTTTGCGCTGTTCTTTCAGCGATGACTTCCACGGCTCGTGGACGTATTTGTCCGGCATATTACGCAGCTCGGGGACGTACTTGCGGATAAAGTGGCCGTGCTTATCCCATCGCCGAGGGAACGTCGACGGCGACGCTATCTGACGGTAGTTGGAAAAGAAGCAGCTCGCACTCACCCAGAGCCAATTCCCGACATTGATCGGCCAGTCCATATCAATTGTTGTCTCCTGGAAGTGCGTTGCCCCGCGCAACCACGAGATGTAAAGCCCTCCACGCGTGAGGAAGCACGCGACGGCATGACGCCCAGCATGGTGCGTCCAGCCTTCCAGCCTGATTTGCCGCATCACTGCGTCAATCCATGGAAAGCCCGTGCGTCCTTCTTTCCAGCACTGCAAGTGATGCGTTGCAAGCTTCTCCTCAGCGTCGGTCACACCGAGTAGATTGGTCTGGTCCAACTCAGGACGCGAGACGTAGTCTTCGCCAGACAGCTTCCAGTCGACCTGCTTGCAGCACGGATTCCGCTCGAGCGAGTCAAAGTCCGGCGAACTGCAGGCGTGGCAGTAGAAAAACTCGCGCCACATGAGCTGCCCTTCCAATGTGACTTGAGTCGGCCCCGGGCGATTACGAAAGTGCAGCTGAATGTACATGATGCGGTAGAAGAACTCACGGGCGCTCAGGCACCCGAACGTCAAGTACGGACTCAGCGTCGTGGTCGACGCCGCGTCGACGGCAACCGGAGACGTCTTGGGCTTTTCAAAGAGCCCCACCCGTCGTTCGTCCTTGCAAAACGCGTTTAGGCGCTTCATGGCTTCGCTTTCGCCGCCGATAAACGGCGTGTGAGGGTCTGGCGGTGTCAGTCCGAGCTCCGACAGCGGCGGGACGGCAAACAACTCGGCGTCAGTGGACGTCGCCCTGTCGGCCGTCACGCCAGCCATACAATACACCGCGCTGCAACCGTATCGACAGAGCATTGCAAACAACTCGTTCGGGCTGAACGCCGCGGCGTTCGTCAGCGACAGCGGCGCAGCGATCGGCACGGCGGGCTGCGCCATCTTGTCCGTAATCTCCAGCAGCCGCTCGTAGTCGGCCGGTGGCTGGCCGCCGTTCTTGTCAATGATCTCGTGCGAGTCGTACAGCGTCACGCCTCGGAACGACTGCGTCTTGACGTCAAGCGACGCAGCGATCGCACGCACGCGCTCGTCCCGCGCCACGGCGTACTGCACAACGGCCTCCTCGAAGAACAGGTCCGTGACGCGCCAGGCCGCCATTACGGCCGCCAGGACCTCTTCGGCGTCGCCGCGCAGCACGAGCAGACGACCGTTCAGGGCCGCAAAAGACGCAGCCAAGTCCGCGACCGCCTCGAGCAGGAACTGGAACCGCACGGCGCCACAGCGCTGCCGCTTCGGCCGGTGGACAATGTAAATGGGCAGCAGGGCCATTGCCTCGCGGCCCCCGACGTCCTGCTGCGCGCGGATCGCGCCGTCGAGCGCCACGTTGTCGTGCAGTCGCAGGTCGCGCCGGAACCAGATGATTGCGCGTCGCGTGGGACGCGGCCGCGTCATCGCTTCCTCGTGGTCGTCCGCTCGTGCCGTCGTGTCCCGCGTAACGACGTGCCGGTCAACGTCGCTGCTCGCGCCGCTGTAGCCACTCACGTCGACGTCTATGGACGGCAGCACGGCGGGGTCGGCGTCGGTGCTTCGGTGCCGCTTTCGAGCCATTGGCGCCTGAAGGTGCGGCGACGGACGCGCTCGGGACGGGCAAAACGAGTCGCCCAACGTCCACCCGAGTGCTTGGCAGGCGCCAAATCAACGGGTGGCCTGCAGACTCGTTGATGAGTTGTGTCGTGAGCGAGCGAGCGGGTGAGCGAGTGACGACGAATTCCATCGTGTTCACGCAGAGAACGCCGTCGAAGGGTTTGACGACCAGAGTGACGCTATTCCCACCGGCGGGGCGGCGCGCATCGCCGGGTCCATCGGACAAACAGCTGCTGCTGCACGCGAACGTTCCCGCGTTGCAGCTGGGCGGGAGGATGACGTCACGGAAGTGAACTTCAGCTTTCGATTGCCGAAATGGCTGCACTCGCGTGCGCGCCGTACGTTGTTACGTATCGAAACGTCTCGGAGTGCATCCAGACAAGTGGCGGTAGATGGACACAAGCGTAAGCCTGAAGACGCATAAGCTGATGGGTAGCAGTTCTGCGAGTCGTATATGTTGCAAGCTCCAAGTGCAGTCAGTGGCTTACGAAACAATTGCACGCATTGTCGACTCGGACAGTGCAGCCATTGTACCTGGAAATAGAGAGCCACACCGAATCGGTAATAACATTCGTCATGTTCTATCTTCAACGCGCCTACGAAGCGCGTCGCTTGGCACGATACAAAGCCCAGTCATGCGAACCTGTGGCTGTCGAGTGGGACAAAGACGACTCGCTCACATGACCGATTGTTATCGTTGCTTGGCATGTTTTGCATAGGGAGTCCCCGTCGCCACACCAGATTGAGTGCATGGAAATAGAAAAATAGCGAATCTGAGATCAGTCGTTCCAGCGATCGTCTAGCAGACCACCGATTATCCTTAGGCTTGTGCTGACCTTATTTGCGGTTTTGGGACAAAATCGGTTCTTACATTATTTTGCGTTGCTTTCGAGGTCGATTGAGTCCCTTCGATCTTCTTTTGTGTCGCTATGGTACCGACTTTTCTTTGTCATTTTTAGTTGTACTAATAAGTGACGCTGTGCATAAAATGTCAAATGCGAAAAAAATCACGCAAGTAAACCCACCACACGAGGAGAAAATGTGATATTGCACTAAGTGTTTCGGCTAAAATTGTAGTAAACGATGCCGTAAACGATAAACAATTGTTCTGCCACAACGATGTTCATTGTACGGTAAACGACCAGTTCAGTGCACGATTTTGGATCAGTTCGGAGATTTTGTCATGTAACGTAGATAAACAAATCGGATGTATAACAAACAACATGATAGAGCAATGTTAGCGGCGGTTTTCATCCACATCGTTTCAGCTTCATAACATTAGTTTACACAAAGTTTTGCGAGTTAAAGAAAATCAGTCAAAGTTGGGCTCATTTTACTGGGTACTGGTTTGATGCATGACTACTGGTCGGATGCTTCTGCTAGCATTTCTATGGTGACCAGCCTGCCGGCGATGCCGATCGTTGTTCTACGATTATTCTGCTTGCGTACGGGCTCTGGAAGGATAATGAGATGTTGCAGATTGACCGTTGCCGTCGCCAACACTTCTCGTGATACTGATCACGCCAGGTAAATTTTAACCACATATATTGTTGTAGTATCCGATGATGATGCCAGGTCCATGGCAAGACGCAAGGTTATGAGAGTAAAAAATGCATGTCAGTGGTAGTGGTTAACACGTCAATATATTTCTCAATTCACAACTGTCATCACCATACGCAATGACTAGCATATCCAGCAGAGAAGAGTCAACTGCTGAGTTGAAGAACTCCGGCGCGCACAAGGCTAGAGAGCGGACGCGTCGTTAACCAGAGAAAAGGATATGAGTACAAGCGGTGAACATGTACATGATGACATCTTCTCACCAACAAGAGACCTCGCTACTCAGTTTGCAGACATGTGACTGTTTTGTACCCCTGACGGAAACAGAGGGTCACAACTTCCAACTTCGTCATCAGAGCAACCGACACCGATGACTCCATATGCTCATATGAATATGATGCAACTCATTTCAAGCTTTCAACAAAAAAGCTCGCGAGTTGAGGGCACAATCCCAAGCGTCGAGGTAAACCGATTTCAATGTGACAATACACACCGCCTCACCTGCGACATCGTCCGCACCATATTGTCCAGTTGGTGCACCCAATTTGAAGCACCTTAAGGTCATTGAGTTCACCGGAGAAGAGCAATACTCAAGACTCGGAGCAGATAAATCGTTCAAGTACCAATATGATGTGCGCATACTTACGCTTGAGAGCTTCGATCTCGTAGTCTGGAATGAAGAGCAACGACTGAGCGCTATGGCGATGTGCTTTCGCGGTGCGGACTTTGGGCATTTTAAGTATATCGCGGATCAAGGCCTCAATGCCGACTACGACAACGTTTTCACGTCCATGTAGAGCCATTTATGCTGTAATCTGAGCCAGGCTCAACTGGGAAAGCTACTCGAAGCACCCAAGAGAGCCAACGCAGCTTAAAAATCTTACATCGAGTACATGAGAGCTGTGCAGAGCCGTATGGATAAAAACCCGAGCAATATTATCTTTGAATACTGCTGCTTATACTCCTGCCCATCAGAGGAGAGCAGCTTGCTGGCGAAGATTGATGAAGCCAGCTTGGAGTACGGGATCAAGCTTGAGAAAGCTACACGATACCTGACGTCCATCACAGGGAACGGAAAGGTATTCGTCTGTAAGATAAAGAAGGCGACGAACCTGTACGATCGTGATGAGAGAGACAAACCGAAGTTCGAGAAGAAACAGCGGAAGTCAAAGCATGAAACTGGTGATGCGCTCAGCGCAGGAAGAACCAAGAAGTATTTTAAGCGTGCCCGTTACTTCTGTGAGAATGAGGGTCACATTGCTACAACTTGTCCACAAAAGAAGATGTTTCTGGAGAAGAAGCAAAGGTCAATAGGCTCAGCAAATGTGGTGGGTACATCTCTCGAGATAAACAAGACTGAGGATAAGGACTTTCAGTACTCATTATGCTGAGCACCATTCAGAGGCACTAGGGATGAACGGTAAGGGTTGCTGGAATCAGGCGCTAGTCACCACATATGCGGTACGGGATTTGCGTTGCAAAACGAGTGCGCATGCAATCTGTTCGTTACTATCGCAGATGGTCGCACCATCCAATCTTCCATGTGTGGCCACATCGTGATGAAGAAAATTGTCGACAGAAAGCAAACCAAGATTCTGTTGCAAGACGTGCACTTGATTCCAGGGCTGCGCAAAATCATGCTATATCAATCGGTCAACTTGCAAAGAAATGTATTCATACCTCATTTACTGAGCAAGGCACATCACTGTGTTAGTTTGACGACACGGTAGTCAAAATTTGCTGTTGGCTGTGCGACGTGGAACAGTGGACAATGGACTTTGCAACTTCAATGTGAATGCATTCGTATCAGCTGTTGCGAGCGTCGCGGCGAAACCTGATGGTACCATCATGGAATGGCTTGCTCGACTCGGCCATGTCAAAGTTGAGGATGTAGCAATAATCGAGAATCATGACCTTGCAGGTGGTCTATACATCACTGACAAGAAGCGAAGTGTGAAGTGACTGAGATGCATTTTGCAAGAGGAAGCAAACAAGAAGGATTAAAGCGCGCACAGAAACTTCCGAATCAATATTAACGGATGGGATTGTCGTCGTAATTGGAGCTGATACCAATACAAATGTCAAGCTGCACGATTACAAAGGCTGCACTCACTCTTTGCATGTCGTCGACTATGCTTCTAGATATGAAAAAGTATTTCCAATGCGTCCCAAGCCCGACTGGTTACCGTTGCTGACTGGATTCATTACAGAATTCGAGCGACAATACGACGTGCGAGTGAAGGTCATCCGGAGCGACAAAGAATATAACACGAACAAGATAAGGCCGTGGTGTGGAAAACGCGGTATCCGACAGCAACGAATGGAACCAGACGAATCGTCTTCAGATGGAAAGGTAGAGAGGCGTCACAGGACTTTGTTTTACGTCATGCGGGATATGGTGTTTGATGCTACCAGGGCTCCTTGCTTTCTACGGCCGGAAGCACCTCGACATTCTTCATGGTTGAAAAAAACAACTTTCGACACGAGCAAATGGCGGGAACAAGTCGAATAGTAAGGCTCTCATTGGACACAAGCCCAACCTTTGAAGCATACTAAAGCGGGGACAAAGGGTCACGGTTCAAGGCAAGAATAAGTCCATGGGTACGAGAAGGGAGCGTGAGCACGTCACATTCATCGGAATTATTATATAGTGAAGATGTACGGCGTGTTCGTCAAACGCACTAACAAGATCTTAATACCGGAGCACGCCTAGTCGATTAACTCGGACAAGAAGGGTATCTACAAGGATCTAAGGTGCTGGAGATGATGTATGCACCTACAACATCTCTGACGCAGAGAGCATACTGAGTCCAAGAGGAAATGGCTCGAGCGTTTCTGATAGCGAATGATCTGCTGTTGGTTTAAACATTGGTGAAAAGCAATCGCTAGCAGAACGACGCGAGCTTAGTCATGTCACCATGCCTGCTCGATATGCTGACGGTGACACAATGTTAGTTGTACGAGTCATAAAGCCAAGATTCGTTAGAGAAGCTATGACGCTTCCTGAAAGAAAAAGGACTAGATCGATGCGATGAAGGCAAATCTCGATGCACTTGTCCAAAACGGCACTTGGGAGATTGTCGACGAATCAAACAAGGTAAAAACATCGTCGACAGCAACTGGTTTTTAGAGATAAAGTATGATGCTGGTGGTGACGTTAAGCGCTTTAAAGCAAGACTTTTTGATCGAGGAATTAGCCAAAAGTACGGCGTAAATTTCCCAGAGACATTTGCACGGGTCATCAAAATGAGCAGCGTGCGTCTATTGGTTGCCCTATCAAGCTTGCTTGGGCTACGCCTGGCTTATGGCGACTTTCCAATTGTTTATGTGAAGGGTTTACATACGAGATATAATCTGGATGGAAGCACTTTAAGAGCCGGATATCAAGGAGGTAAGATGCTAAA